ACAAAAATATGTACTATTTTGAGATTGGAACTCCAGGTCATTATCTTGAAGATGCTGGAATCCCAGGGATCCAAGAAGGTAAAGGGATGTATATAGGAACATGGTTAAGCCGAGATGTGAGATGTGTAAATATTAAGATGGGAGAGATCAGTGTAGTGGAGGAGGTGTTCCACTTTGTATAGAAGCAAGAGATAGTCCACTGTTTTTGGTATCGCTGTGTTGGACGTTATATTCTGATGGCAGGGATAGATGTCACTGGTTTGCCTCCTTACTACAAAAAACTGCATGGTCTTGACCCACACAATCTTAACCTAATCCACAGTTTTAGCTTTCGTCCACAAGCAATCTTAGCCTAAATCTAAGTCAAACTTAAATACCTTGAGCAGTTGCAACCTTGATCTGCAATTGATCTTAGCCTTGAATAACAAGCAATCTTGGCTCTGATCCATAAGCAATCTTAGCTCTGATCCACAAGCAATCTTAGCTTTCATCCACAAGCAATCTTAGCCTTCATCTTAGGTGTCAGGATTCACTGTACAGAGATACATCCATTTGTCATGTCAGGATTCACTGTACGTAGATGCATCCTTTTGTTATGTAAGGATTCACTGTACGTAGATGCATCCTTTTGTTATGTCAGGATTCACTGTACATAGATGCATCCTTTTGTCATGTCAAGATTCTCTGTACATAGATACATCCTTTTGTCATGTCAGGATTCACTGTACGTAGATGCATCCTTTTGTTATGTCAGGATTCACTGTACAGAGATACATCCTTTTGTCATGTCAGGATTCACTGTACATAGATGCATCCTTTTGTCATGTCAAGATTCTCTGTACATAGATACATCCTTTTGTCATGTCAGGATTCTCTTTACATAGATGCATCCTTTTGTCATGTCAGGATTCTCTGTACATAGATGCATCCTTTTGTCATGTCAGGATTCACTGTACATAGATGCATCCTTTTGTCATGTCAAGATTCTCTGTACATAGATACATCCTTTTGTCATGTCAGGATTCACTGTACATAGATGCATCCTTTTGTCATGTCAAGATTCTCTGTACATAGATACATCATTTTGTCATGGCAGGATTCACTGTACATAGATGCATCCTTTTGTCATGTCACGATTCACTGTACATAGATGCATCCTTTTGTCATGTCAGGATTCACTGTACATAAATGCATCCTTTTGTCATGTCAGGATTCACTGTACATAGATGCATCCTTTTGTCATGTCAGGATTCACTGTACATAGATGCATCCTTTTGTCATGTCAGGATTCACTGTACATAGATGCATCCTTTTGTTATGTCAGGATTCACTGTACGTAGATGCATCCTTTTTTCATGTCAGGATTCACTGTGCATAGATGCATCCTTCCTTTTGTCATGACAGGATTCACTGTACATAGATGCATCCTTTTGTCATGACAGGATTCACTGTACATAGATGCATCCTTTTGTCATGTCAGGATTCACTGTACATAGATGCATCCTTTTGTCATGTCAGGATTCACTGTACATAGATGCATCCTTTTGTTATGTCAGGATTCACTGTACGTAGATGCATCCTTTTGTCATGTCAGGATTCACTGTGCATAGATGCATCCTTCCTTTTGTCATGACAGGATTCACTGTACATAGATGCATCCTTTTGTCATGACAGGAATCACTGTGCATAGATGCATCCTTTTGTCATGTCAGGATTCACTGTGCATAGATGCATCCTTCCTTTTGTCATGTCAGGATTCACTGTACATAGATGCATCCTTTTGTCATGACAGGAATCTCTGTACATAGATGCATCCTTTTGTCATGTCAGGATTCACTGTGCATAGATGCATCCTTCCTTTTGTCATGTCAGGATTCACTGTACATAGATGCATCCTTCCTTTTGTCATGACAGGATTCACTGTACATAGATGCATCCTTTTGTCATGTCAGGATTCACTGTGCATAGATGCATCCTTCCTTTTGTCATGACAGGATTCACTGTACATAGATGCATCCTTTTGTCATGTCAGGATTCTCTGTACATAGATGCATCCTTTTGTCATGTCAGGATTCACTGTGCATAGATGCATCCTTTTGTCATGTAAGGATTCACTGTACATAGATGCATCCATTTGTCATGTCAGGATTCTCTGTACATAGATGCATCCTTTTGTCATGTCAAGATTCACTGTACATAGATGCATCCTTTTGTCATGTCAAGATTCACTGTACATAGATGCATCCTTTTGTCATGTCAGGATTCACTGTACATAGATGCATCCTTTTGTCATGTCAGGATTCTCTGTACATAGATGCATCCTTTTGTCATGTCAGGATTCACTGTGCATAGATGCATCCTTTTGTCATGTAAGGATTCACTGTACATAGATGCATCCATTTGTCATGTCAGGATTCTCTGTACATAGATGCATCCTTTTGTCATGTCAAGATTCACTGTACATAGATGCATCCTTTTGTCATGTCAAGATTCACTGTACATAGATGCATCCTTTTGTCATGTCACGATTCACTGTACATAGATGCATCCTTTTGTCATGTCAGGATTCTCTGTACATAGATGCATCCTTTTGTCATATCAGGATTCACTGTACGTAGATGCATCCTTTTGTCATGTAAGGATTCTCTGTACATAGATGCATCCTTTTGTCATGTCAGGATTCACTGTACATAGATGCATCCTTTTGTCATGTCAAGATTCTCTGTACATAGATACATCCTTTTGTCATGTCAGGATTCTCTTTACATAGATGCATCCTTTTGTCATGTCAGGATTCTCTGTACATAGATGCATCCTTTTGTCATGTCAGGATTCACTGTACATAGATGCATCCTTTTGTCATGTCAAGATTCTCTGTACATAGATACATCCTTTTGTCATGTCAGGATTCTCTTTACATAGATGCATCCTTTTGTCATGTCAGGATTCTCTGTACATAGATGCATCCTTTTGTCATGTCAGGATTCACTGTACATAGATGCATCCTTTTGTCATGTCAAGATTCTCTGTACATAGATACATCCTTTTGTCATGTCAGGATTCACTGTACATAGATGCATCCTTTTGTCATGTCAAGATTCTCTGTACATAGATACATCCTTTTGTCATGGCAGGATTCACTGTACATAGATGCATCCTTTTGTCATGTCAAGATTCACTGTTCATAGATGCATCCTTTTGTCATGTCAGGATTCACTGTACATAGATGCATCCTTTTGTTATGTCAGGATTCACTGTACGTAGATGCATCCTTTTTTCATGTCAGGATTCACTGTGCATAGATGCATCCTTTTGTCATGTCAAGATTCACTGTACATAGATGCATCCTTTTGTCATGTCAAGATTCACTGTACATAGATGCATCCTTTTGTCATGTCAGGATTCTCTGTACATAGATGCATCCTTTTGTCATGTCAGGATTCTCTGTACATAGATGCATCCTTTTGTCATGGCAGGATTCACTGTACATAGATGCATCCTTTTGTCATGTCAGGATTCACTGTACATAGATGCATCCTTTTGTCATGTCAAGATTCACTGTACATAGATGCATCCTTTTGTCATGTAAGGATTCACTGTACATAGATGCATCCATTTGTCATGTCAGGATTCTCTGTACATAGATGCATCCTTTTGTCATGTCAGGATTCTCTGTACATAGATGCATCCTTTTGTCATGTCAGGATTCTCTGTACATAGATGCATCCTTTTGTCATGTCAGGATTCACTGTACATAGATGCATCCTTTTGTCATGTCACGATTCACTGTACATATAATCTGATGATAGTGGGTTTGAATCCAAGATTAGTACTGTTAAAAGCAATGAAAAAACGCTCTGTCAAAATTGTGTCTAAGGCCAATATCAAGGACAAGTTAAAAAATTCTGAAAAATGAAACCTAATCTAATGCATATTTACTTAATTACACTACTTTTTTAAATTGTTTGATAGTCATTACTTAGAAGTTGACGGATTACAAGGTAGACACAATTTTATGAGTAAGTGTTGACAACAGGAGAACACCTTGACCACTTTCTTAAACAACTGAACGCCTCCTGTGCTCTAGTTGATGTGTAATGGTATGAGGATAGACTCTGTTGTCCAGTTCATCACACCCTTCCTGGTCATGCTCTCTCATCTTCTCCTCAAGCTTGTAGATCCTGATGCATGGCTGGCTTCACCAAGCTGTTACCCCTCCCAAGTTTATGTTTATTGGCATGCTAGACCTGCTCTTAATGTAAAACCAGTTGATAAAAAACATTATAACCCAATCATTGTTAAAGACCATCTTCTATTGGTAAATAATTAGATATATGTGCTGTACCACATAATCTAGAGTTGTTCTTTTTTTGTATTTTGTTAGTCTTGATATTTTCATGGTATGTATGCTTCTAATTCAAGATATAGAACCCTTTTTGGTTGTGGCCCAATAAGACAAAAAACACAGAACCCCTTTGCTGTCTTACTGCCACAGATTTTAGTCCTGAATCTGGAGAAGGAACATTTCTTTACACCTGTTGTCTTGTGTAGGGCCTGGGTGCAATAGGTCTTTAGCAACCCATCAGGATCTGGTGGTCAGGCTCACTGGCTTGGTTGATGCATGTCATTGTATCCCAATTGCATATTCTATGCTCATGTCAATAACAGTGAGTGGATTGTCTGTCCAGACTTGATTATTTAAAGACCACTGTCATATAGCTGAAATATTGCTGAGTGCAGCTTTAAATAACAAACAAACTCCAGTTGTCATGTCGCTCCACCCAGACCACCTGTTACATGTATCTGGAACACATCTGAAACCCAAGCCAGAGAGGCAGTTGCTAACGTACACATCATTCTCCCCTAAAAAAACCGAAATGCAAAGATACCTTGGCTGCTGCAAAGGTTCCGGCAAGTTAATTCAAATATACATGAGAGACAAACATGTTGATATCTTTCCCTAACAGAGGATAGTGAGTTAAGTGTTCCCTTTCTTGCAGATTTCTTCATGTAGCAGTGAGCAAGGCCGACCAGAGCATCAAGGTCCCAGCACCAGTTCAGAAGGCACCAGAACCAGTTGACCTTACGAAGCAAATGATTGGTCGAGACAAGCCACCTGGGACCCAGCCAGGTGAAGGCCAGGTGGACATTATGCAGATGTTGACCAAGGCTCAGAGTGAATATGTCAAGGTAAGTAATTAGGAGTGTAACGATGTATCCAACTATCGATGTATTCCTATTGCTTGCCCTCCAGTTGTACTATATCGATAGGAATAGGAAACGCCAGTAGTATTGTCAATAGTGTGCATAACAATCCATTGTTTTAATAGGCGCAATAAGTTATAGGTAAAGCATAAACTATGTATCAGTAAACAGTCAAAATTCAAACCTGCCTTGTATTGATTAGCATCAATTACGACAACTTTGTTACTAAAGATACTTCCCTTTGGATTGTGTGGCGCCGGGTAGGAAAATAGCCAACTTCACTTTATTCATAAATACTTTATTCATTTCTATTGCATTGATTAATATCATTATCAAGCCTGAAAGTTGGTTTAGTACTATCGCAATACTATTGCAATAGTGTGAGGTACTTTTGCAATGCAGTAGTGAAAATAGCCCCTATAGTTACCCCTAATAATTACCCCAATCATTATTGTCCAGGGTGCCGTTGTACAAAGCGATCTTTGAGCTAATACCCATACCTTAACATAGACTTACGACAGTCGAAGCGCTAAGGTTGTTCTGTATTGTTTAGGTTGTCTTAACTAACATAGAAAACATACATATGCAAACTAGTTCCACAGATAGCAACAATGCAGTAGCTGTCTCAGTTGATGTCTTTTGGAAGTGCAGGAGCTCCAGACTCTGCATCTGAAGTATCTTGACAGCCTCCAGTAGTAATAGTTTCCATCATATCATATGTTTCCATCCTCGTCAACAGGCCAAAGGAGCACCAGGCCCCACAAAGGAGGAGAAGCCACGCCCAATGACTGACCACATCACCACTGTCGCCCCCACCAGCAATGTCAACCTCGTCCGTCCCACGCCAGTCAAGTTCAGCTTGGACGGGTCTCCCTCAGAAGGTGTGCTCTTCAACCACGCATTCAGTGACTCACATAACAATTATAATGTTGGAGTCATACAACCCTCGCACCATTTGGAGAGTTTCGTTGAGAATATCTTGAGTTTTGCAACCCATTACTCTCTCTCTCTCTCTCTCACTCACTCTCTCACTCACTCACTCACTCACTCACTCACTCACTCACTCACTCACTCACTCAGACTCCATGACTTGATTGATAGCATGTCATTGTACCCCGGCGGCGTGGATCATTGTTCACAATATGTATTACTAGATTGTCTGGTCCAGACTCCATTATTTACAGGCCTCCGTCAGTTGGCTGGAATATTGCTGAGTGCAGCGTTAAGCAACAAACAATCCAACAAGCCCTCATGCTGTACTCACTTATAGTGTTATAACAAACAGCAGTGCGAGCTTGGACCACGCTAAACACTGGTCACATGCAGTGTGAGGGACATGAATACTGCATTACTTACACGTTGCAAGCCTTTTCCTGTTGTCCCCACGGAAATAAGTCAACAAACATGGCCAGCAGCACTTACGCTATGTGGAAGGTTCTAACAGCATGGGATTCATAATTAATTTGCTTCTTAATTCAAATCAATTTACGGTGATGTTTTAATCTGAATATTGTGTTTGCATTGCGAGGGTACATTGTTGTATTTGTGTACAGTGTTACTGTTTTTGATACGAACAATATTGTTGACTGTGAAGGTTTGCAAATGGCAAATCAGGAATCAGTTACAATATGTTGTAAACGATAAGGTTGTGAACATTCTTGTGCATCCAAAGAATAAGTGTGTGTGCAGATTCCATCTGAATGAGAGATGCTTATATGAAGTATTCATGTTTCCAGTGCATCTTATATCAAATCAAGCAATTCCATATGTGAAAGTTGCTGTCCCATAATCAATGGGCACTTTTTTCATCTCAAAGGGGGATAACTCTTTTCTAAACAATAGAAGCATGTCCCCTTACCCTCTTTGTGCACTGCAACAACTTGTGACCTGTTGTGACCAGTGTTTGAAATAAACAAATTGCAAGGCCGCCATCAGGACCCACGGACTTCAGAAGCTGTAGGCCCTGACTAAACTCTCCAGGCCCTCATATAAGAAACTGCAGCTTATTCTGATACATCAACATGTAAATTTACTGCAGGCCATCAGGACCCAAGCAAATATGAAGGTACGGGTCCGTCACGAGATCTACTGGCCATTGGCCTTCAGACAGGGCTTATTTCGAACATTCGACTTGTGATGTTGCCAAAGCTTTAACAGTTCCGTTTTCCCATCCTTCAAACATGGTTGTTTACTTCTGAATAGCTGACACAAGCACATGTTTTGCAGTGATCTATTGTCCACAAAATTTGTTTTGTCTGCAGCTAGAAGTATGTGTGCGTGTGTGTGAGTTTGTTGTTAAACACCGCACTCGGCAATATTCCAGCTGTATGATGACCAGCTGTAAATAATAAAGTCTGGACCAGACAATCCAGTGATTGATAATATAAGCAACGGGTAATGACGTTGGGGTACATTGACACGCTGTCAACCAAGTCAGCGAGCCTGACCACCTGATCCCGTTAATCGCCTCTTCAAGCATAGTTGCCTTTACGGCAAGCATGGGTTGCTGGAGACCTATTCTACCTGGGTCTTCACGGGTCAACCAAGTCGGCGAGCCTGACCACCTGATCCCGTTAATCGCCTCTTCAAGCATAGTTGCCTTTACGGCAAGCATGGGTTGCTGGAGACCTATTCTACCTGGGGCTTCACGGGTCAACCAAGTCAGTGAGCCTGACCACCCCATCCATTAGTCACCTCTTGCAACCAGCATTGGGACGTGTTCTAACCAGGAATCTCCACAGGTTGTGCAAATAAAACAATAAAAGAGTCGAAGGTGTGACAGAAAAGAAAAAAAAAACCATGAAATATTTTGTATCCCCCCCAGCCTGTAACCACAGCTGGCATTCCCAGGTAGCATCGCAGCCATGAAATGATACAAACTCAATTCATTTGTCAGCACTTTAGGTTATTTCATTCCCACTACAGTAGTTGTCCAAACTGTTGCAGCATTAATTCAACATTAATTATTGATACCATAGTTTTCATCCTGCCATGTACTTCAGTGTAATATTGTCACAAAGAATATACCAATAAATCAGGGATGTTCAAATACCAAACTGCAAACTAACAAATTCTATTTACCCAGCCATTATTTTCAACTTGCCCTGCCTAATGGGAGGAAAGAAGAAGACTTTAATTACAACAAAACTTTCTCAACTTGAGCAAGAGCTAATGGGAGATGTTCAGAATAGAAATGGGCGGTCGGGTAGCCTAGTGGTTAAAGCGTTCACTCGTCACGCCAAAGACCCGGGTTCGATTCCCGACATGGGTATAATGTGTGAAGCCCATTTCTGGTGTCCCCCATCGTGATATTGCTGGAATATTGCTAAAAGCGGCGTAAAATCAAACTCACTCACTCACTCACTCACTGAGAATAGAAAAATGACTAGTCAGGTACTTTTATCTTCAGTTGACAAGCACACAACGGCATCTTCTAAGTTTCAAATGTAATACCGCCGATTCTCCTACTTTACCGAGGGCAACTAAATTATTTTTTCCAAATGTATTTTCATTGGTCAGGCAAGTAGGGCATACTAATTGAACATCCCAAATAAATCATGATGACATTGTGCAATGCAGATGTGTACTGAAGTACATTGGAAAGATGATTAACATGATTGATTTATGTTTGTGTGGGAATTTTGAAAAATGCCATGATCATCATTTTAATATTCGAGATAAAAGTCTTGTGAAATTCAAAATGAGCTTCATCTGATCTTAGTCAAACCAAACTGGAGGTAATTACTCGATGTCAATGAATTGTAAATCTTTTGAGTTAAAAATCTCCATAGATTTACGACATGAACAGGTTTACTTGGTAAGTGTCCTTTGGTTTGTGCAAAAAAATGTAATATTAAATACATTCAAAGGTTTCAAATCTCAATAATGTGTTTAATCACCTCTTAAAATAGCTGATTTGATGCTGCAACACAGAGGAAGCAAGTATTTATTTTTAAAAATGCTGCTTTCGTAAATCTTATTATCTCCACTTATGATCGAATATGAATCAATTTGACAGTGCCTGAATTATTGATATGTATACTCAGGGCGATAACCACCACTAATAGTCTAATGCCAAGTGCAGTTTAAAAGCCAATGATTGATTCAAACGTGCAAAGCCTGCAAATTGGCCTGAAGCATTCATTAACAAAGTAGAAAGTCATCATGAGAACATCTGATACATGTTGGGAGTTGCCTGTACAGATAATGGAGAGGGAACTGAACCTAAGGGAAGCAACTCTTGGTGGCTGTGGACTCCCTTCATGCCCTTATGCTGTGGTTTCAGGATCTATGTTCAAATCATCAAGAACGCGAAATGGTTATTTTCTGCCGCACATAAAATGTTGTTTGTATTAGATGCATGTACCCACAGCATTATATTGTTGAAAAGAAAATAAGCCCCTGTTATTCCAAAATATATAATACATGTACACTTAAACTTTATGAATTTTCTCTCTCTCTCTCTCTCTCCACCTCTGTGATTGAGCATCTGCCAGGAGAGCTGAATGTCTATGGTTTGAACTGCTGGCCTTGTCAAACCAAAATATGTTTTAAAAAATTGTGCTTTGCTGTTACCCTGAGTTCCTCACTAGTGCTCAGCATTAGTGAGTGAGTATAGTTTTACGCCACTTTTAGCAATATTCCAGCATTATCACGGCGGGGGACACCAGAAATGGGCTTCACACATTGTACCCATGTCGGGATTCGAACCCGGGTCTTCGGCGTGACAAGCGAACGCTTTAACCACTAGGCTACCCGACCGGCATTAAGGACGTTAAGCAAGAACTTTTCGTCTCGAATATGTCTGAATGTGCTAGCACTATGAAACCAGCGTAAGTCCGGACTAGTACAAGCCGACACACACACAAGTGCATGCACGACGGAGATAGGTGAAGTAATCTTGAACACGACATTGAACCTCAATTCACAACTTTTAAGTTAATCCTTCTCCTTCAGAAATGCCTGCAATTGTGTCGGGAAACTTATCCCAGCCTGCACCTGATTCTTCTGGGCCAATGACATTGGAGGCGTTGTTCCGTAAGGCCAGTATTAGCCAACACCGGGGAGGGATGGTGGACGCCTCTACGGCTGAACTTCCAGATGTCACCAAGCCTTCAGTGTTACAAAGGTAAATTATTTTATTTTAAAATGATATAGGGATTTTTCTTTTTAAGTGGGTTGTATAGTAACATAGGGCTCAACTAAGAGTTTGAGGAGATGCAGCAGATTGAAAATCTTTTAATTAATCCATACTGGACTGATGGAAAGTAATGAGGAAAACCAAGAAATATTGTTGAATATATTTAACTGCGGTATTATAAACATCGATTCCTCTCTATGAATATGTCACCAAGGAAATGTTAGTAATTCCTTCAAATACAAAACCTCTTATTCATCATTGCCATAAATCCTGCATTTTGGCTGTCATCACGTTACACTCTAAAGTCTTCAGATTTTCAACAGAAGTCTTCTTCACTGTCAACTATCCATAATTAGATGTGCAACTAATAGTACCTTGCTTCCAGACATCATGATCATACGTGAGCTGGGAAAAATCTCACTTCTTTCATGCGACGTTAAACCCCATTTCACCTCGCCTCACCTCGCCTTCATGGCTGTTCCCTTATTTCTTTCTATTGGTATATACTCACAGATACTCCATGCACAGTGATAAATACTGGTTTTGAGAAAACAAGTTTAAGAGGCATTCACTCTTTTTTCAGATACTATGATATTTCAACTCATACAAAGGAACAATTTTATGACCCACATTTTTACATTTAAATTAGATGTTTGGACAGCATGGGCAAATGATCTATATTTTAGTCCTATTTCAGAGATTAGCATTTTATTAAGGTAATATGTAGGTTGTTACTAAACTCTGGTGTATATCACCGATTAACATAAGTAGTGACAAAGTAGACGCAATTTATGGATAACAACTTCTTTATTTAGCCTTGCTTGACAACGGTATAAGGATCTATACCGAAACATCGCCTACAGTAAATAAAGAAGTTGTTATGCATAAATTGTGTCTATTTTGTGATCCGTCAACTACTAAGAACTGCCTATCAAACAATTTAGCAAAAGTGTTGTCAGCTATGCCTCTGTGTGGTTCACAGTTCATGTGTTTGTGTTGCAGGTCAATCTCAATGGTGGAGACAGAATCTCACAAGGACAAGCTTCCCCCGATGCTGCAGAAACTCATCTCTACGGGACAGACAGTGGAGGAGATCGAGCGTCAGCAGATCAGCCACAACATCCACGAGAGACCAAGATCAGAAGGTTGCGACTCCCTGAAACCCGACGGCACGTCCCCCATCCCCATGCAGGACCCCCTCCTTCACAAGCCCCTCATGGCAGGGCTTCATCAGCTGCTGGTCCCCGGGGCCTCCAAGCACCACGGTCCTGGGGGTGCCGCACAGCCAGGGGCCAAGTCCTGTGATGTCACCATGGCCGGCGACGCCCCTCTGCTGAAACCCAGTGACATTGAGCAGGGGGGGACAGGACTGGCACATAGTGCATCCATGCTGCCATCTACTCTGGTAAGAACACCTTCATGCTTTCCTCCCATATTACAGCGGTCGGGTAGCCTAGTGGTTAAAGCGTTTGCTCGTCACGCCGAAGACCCGGGTTCGATTCCCGACATGGGTACAATGTGTGAAGCCCATTTCCGGTGTCCCCCGCCGTGATATTGCTGGAATATTGCTAAAAGCGGCGTAAAACCATACTCACTCACTCCTCCCATATTACAGACATGCTCGCTCGCTCACTCACTCACTCACTCACTCACTCACTCACTCACTCACTCACTCATATAGTGGAACCTTGTAGCATAGCAACTCTTTAAACTATGATGTCACTGCATTGTAACCTTGTTTTATGATGTCATAGGACTGTTAACCTCTAGCCTGCTGAATTGTTTAGCATTAGGCACTGTAAAGAGGGTGGACAATTTCAAACAGTTGGTGCTTCATTAAACAAGGGCCAGTTGAAGAAATATTTTTTCACATAACTTACCTGAATTACATTATTGAATTTGGTTTGCGTTTCATCTAGGAATCTTTTTAAATTTGGCAGATCATTTTTAAACTCGCAACGTCTTATTTAGGTAAATAAACTACTGACAATTTTGATATTTTGCAAGCTGAGCATTTATGCATACCATACAAAACTTAAAATATACGCAAGCCTTCTCGTTAAACAGTTATTGCTAGTTTCATTTGGGTGTGTGCTTCGACTATGTGCCTTTCGACTGGGTTCGACAGTAGCATTTAGAGAATAAAATATGGGGGTTACACTGAAACATAATTCCTGTAGAATATTGTTACAATACTTCTGTTGGAGGACATTCCACTTGGAAGGTCATGAAATAAGGGCAAATATACTGACAGTCACCATAACATCAACAATCACTGAGGACATTTATTCTATGATTGCACTTATGAATTAAAAGTCTCTGATAAATATATTATTGTATGAAATATGTTTACAATGAATGTGAAGCTGAAGAAGGCTGCATGACAGTGGTGCCTCACTTGTGAACTTTCAGGTTGGCAGGTGTCATCCTTTTCCTTGAGCTTAACTACATCCCACCAGACACACAGACACTATTCTCAGAATATTATTTCACAATCATGGATACACTGACTGAAAGCTATCTTTATTTTAAAAGTTTGCTTCTCAATTTGCTATTATATGTTCTTCAGTGTACAAAATGTGAAAAATCTGTTCAAAGGGAAGTAACTCTGCACAGTTGACTCGTTCATTGTTATCTGATACTAGCCTGAAGGTCATATGTGGTCAAATTTATCAATTTCTGTTTAGTGGCCTAAAATACCAGTACAGTCGACTGTACAAAACACGCTTTTCTAGTTCTGTTTTAGGGTGGTTCAGTAGCTTCGTGGTTAAGCATTGGCTAATCCCGCAGGTGTCCCGTGTTCAATTCCTCACATGGGTGCAATATGTGAAGCCCATTCTTGGTTTAACTGTGCCAGGATGTGACTGGAATAAATACCCAGCTCACTCACTATTCCTTTCATCATTTGTCTCATAATAGTATACGGTATAGGGGTAGAATAGGTCTTCAGCAACCCATGCTTGCCTTTAAAGGCGACTGTGCTCGTCGTAAAAGGCGACTAACGGGATCGGGTGGTCAGACTCGCTGATTTGGTTGATGCATGTCATCGATTCCAATTGCATGGATCGATGTTCATGATGTAAATCACTGGATTTTCTGGTCCAGACTAGATTATTTACAGACTGCCGTCATATAGCTGGAATATTGCTGAGTGCAGCGTAAAACAACAAACCAAATAACCATAATGGTATAAACTGATACATTGCTACACACTATAAGCTCCTTGGCATGCAAATTAGCACCACAGGAATAATGATATTTCATTATAATTCAGTTTTATTAGGTAAACTGTGTTTGTACAGGGTCAGTAATAGCTCTATGTCATGCTTTGTGTTTGTACAGGGTCAGTAATAGCTCTATGTCATGCTTTGTGTTTGTACAGGGTCAGTAATAGCTCCATGTCATGCTTTGTGTTTGTACAGGGTCAGTAATAGCTCTATGTCATGCTTTGTGTTTGTACAGGGTCAGTAATAGCTCCATGTCATGCTTTGTGTTTGTACAGGGGACAGTAATAGCTCTATGTCAGGCTTTGTATTTGTACAGGGTCAGTAATAGCTCTATGTCATGCTTTGTGTTTGTACAGGGTCAGTAATAGCTCTATGTCATGCTTTGTTTTTGTACAGGGTCAGTAATAGCTCCATGTCATGCTTTGTGTTTGTACAGGGTCAGTAATAGCTCTATGTCATGCTTTGTGTTTGTACAGGGTCAGTAATAGCTCTATGTCATGCTTTGTGTTTGTACAGGGTCAGTAATAGCTCTGTTCAATTCCCGACATGGGTACAATGTGTGAAGCCCATTTCTGGTGTCCCCCGCCGTGATATTGCTGGAATATTGCTAAAAGCGGCGTAAAATCAAACTCACTCACTCAGTAATAGCTCCATGTCATGCTTTGTATTTGTACAGGGTCAGTAATAGCTCTATGTCATGCTTTGTATTTGTACAGGGTCAGTAATAGCTCCATGTCATGCTTTGTATTTGTACAGGGTCAGTAATAGCTCTATGTCATGCTTTGTATTTGTACAGGGTCAGTAATAGCTCTATGTCATGCTTTGTGTTTGTACAGGGTCAGTAATAGCTCTGTGTCATGCTTTGTGTTTGTACAGGGTCAGTAATAGCTCTATGTCATGCTTTGTGTTTGTACAGGGTCAGTAATAGCTCCATGTCATGCTTTGTGTTTGTACAGGGGACAGTAATAGCTCTATGTCAGGCTTTGTATTTGTACAGGGTCAGTAATAGCTCTATGTCATGCTTTGTGTTTGTACAGGGTCAGTAATAGCTCTATGTCATGCTTTGTTTTTGTACAGGGTCAGTAATAGCTCCATGTCATGCTTTGTGTTTGTACAGGGTCAGTAATAGCTCTATGTCATGCTTTGTGTTTGTACAGGGTCAGTAATAGCTCTATGTCATGCTTTGTGTTTGTACAGGGTCAGTAATAGCTCTATGTCATGCTTTGTGTTTGTACAGGGGACAGTAATAGCTCTATGTCATGCTTTGTATTTGTACAGGGTCAGTAATAGCTCTATGTCATGCTTTGTGTTTGTACAGGGTCAGTAATAGCTCCATGTCATGCTTTGTGTTTGTACAGGGTCAGTAATAGCTCTATGTCATGCTTTGTATTTGTACAGGGTCAGTAATAGCTCTATGTCATGCTTTGTGTTTGTACAGGGTCAGTAATAGCTCTATGTCATGCTTTGTGTTTGTACAGGGTCAGTAATAGCTCCATGTCATGCTTTGTTTGTACAGGGTCAGTAATAGCTCTATGTCATGCTTTGTTTTTGTACAGGGTCAGTAATAGCTCTATGTCATGCTTTGTGTTTGTACAGGGTCAGTAATAGCTCTGTGTCATGCTTTGTGTTTGTACAGGGTCAGTAATAGCTCTATGTCATGCTTTGTGTTTGTACAGGGTCAGTAATAGCTCCATGTCATGCTTTGTGTTTGTACAGGGTCAGTAATAGCTCTATGTCATGCTTTGGGTTTGTACAGGGTCAGTAATAGCTCTATGTCATGCTTTGTGTTTGTAGATGGCTGGTGATGTTGGTATCCTCCCTTCTTCATCAGTGTCATGTCCCGATGTGCTGCTGTCTCCCATGGCGTTCTCGTCATCACATGATAAGAGGAAAAGTCCCCCCCTACCCACCACCCCCACCACACAGCAGCCAGTGGGTAGGTGCACTCTCCCTTCTCATACAAACATTACGACTAGACACAGTTGAATAGCACCACACCAGATATATCACTCCGGGGTACGTCATTCGAGATATGTCACACCAGGTATATCACACTGGAGTATATCACACCTGGGTATATCACACCTGGGTATATCACACCTGGGTATATCACACCAGTGTTTATCACACCATGGTATTTCACACCAGCGTTTATCACACCAGGTATGTCACACTGGAGTATATCACACCAGCGTTTATCACACCAGGTATATCACACTGGAGTATATCACACCATGGTATATCACACCATGGTATATCACACCAGTGTTTATCACACCATGGTATATCACACCAGGTAATTCACACCAGCGTTTATCACACCAGGTATGTCACACTGGAGTATATCACACCAGGGTATATCACACCAGGGTATATCACTCCAGCGTTTATCACACCAGATATATCACACTGGATTATATCATACCATGGTATATCACACGAGCGTTTATCACACCAGGTATGTCACACTGGAGTATATCACACCAGTGTTTATCACACCAGGGTATATCACTCCAGCGTTTATCACACCAGATATATCACACTGGATTATATCATACCATGGTATATCACACCAGCGTTTATCACACCAGGTATGTCACACCTGGGTATATCACACCAGGCATATCCATTGGGGTGTATCCAGTGTCCGAAATAACTGCCCGCCTCCCCGTGGCTGGTAACTTTTGTGGGGCTGCATGAAATTTTCCTGCACCTGCCCGACTGCCTGGCAGATATTTTTCATCAACTCCTTGGAGATTCTCAAGTAATTGTTTGCTTTATTCAACCGAATCATGACGCGATTTGTCTCATATTTTTCACGACAATTCAATATTTATAATGTCTGAATGTGGGCAGGTAACTTTGAGGATGGGCAGGAAACATTTTTGTGTCACCTGACCTTCTGTCTTGTTGGGTTTTAAAATTATTTCAAACACTGGGTAGATCACACCAGGGTATATCATTCGTCACCGCTCGCCCCTTTCCGTAACCTGCAAGAAGACTCGTCCCCCTATCGATGAATGTTATGTGCGAAAATACGACAAACCAATCAGAATGCGCGTATGATTTCAAGTTTTTCGTCAAAGAATCCCTCAGAAATAATTTTTGATTTTACATATGTCTTGCATCTAAAAATATACCAAAGACACAGTTAAATGTGTTCAATCATACTGTATAAATCGGCACGTCCCGATGTTCTTTAAATTGCATCTGAAATATATATAATATATGGGGAAAATGTGTGAACCATTACGCAACGAGTTGACAATTGTTTTAGGTATGCCCGTTTGCGCAAAGACGGAACCCGGTCGTAAAAATGGCCACGAGAGGGGCACGAGTCGCTATTCGGCTTGTCCCGGAATAACACGAGTTGGTCACGAATGCAGGGTATATTAGCCTGAACAGTTTGTAAATCCTGTTTCTCCTGGGTAAAAACTTGTTGTATGGTTGCTTCAGCTCTAGACCGCACCCAGAGTGACGGCTCCGAACCAGAGCAGTCCACTGCCACCAGTCACTCACCTCTCACCAAAGAACAGTTACAGCAAGCTCTGCTTTATCTCATTAAGGTAAGGGGAATAGTGTGTCCCGTTTCGCGCAGCAACTGAAGCAGTATAGTCCTCATCCCACAAGTAACACAGACTTGTGTAAGACCTACCTGTATAGTCACCTGCTGTCCTGCATGGACAAACAGGGCTTCTTCTTGTGCATGTGTTTGATTCTGTTCTATTTGTCTTTTAGGGGCAATCATCGTGATATTGCTTGAATATTGCTAAAAGTGGAATGAAACTCAACTCACTATTTGTCATTTTGTGAAGCAGTGATTTGAGGCTGTGCCACTCCCTGTGTAGAGTTGCCTCCCTTGGCTGGAGGGATACAATGTCATGGTTTAAAGCCCTAATTCACCCAAATTACTGCACTTTTTCTGTCAGTATAATTTCTATTTGTGTCATTGTTTTCTTCTTCAGAATGACAACACTTTTGTGTCAACCGTTCATGAGGCATATCTGAAGAGCTTCAAGGCTCTGTCCGGTCACAAGTCGTAGCAGGAGTCGCCTCCCTTCACTTGTTCCTGCATTTAAAGACACTCCTTCCAGAGATATGAAGGACGTCACAGAGGAGAATATCTCTTACACAATGGCCAATGTTATGTACCCGGTATGGACTGAGGAGAATGATGCAGGATTTTATGGGTGTTTACCATAGAGTACAATGAGAGAACACCTTGCTCGACCAGTTGCAGAGAGCATTTGTCTGAGACAATACCGTATACACTGCTTGTGCAATAAACCTTCTTATAGTCAAAGATAGTATGTCAGATTAGCTTGAAGTTATGGGAGCCAAGTTTAGCTTTGGGAGAATGTGAGATATTGGCTGACATTAATATTCCAGGTGTCTTGTTCCCTGCCATGGACAGCATGGTCAGTGGTGGTCAGTGTGGTCTTGCTGAGAACCTCCTAGTCCTGTATTGCTCAATATTTCACAGTCAGTCACATGGAAACACAGTTTGCTATTTCATAACATGTTCAACACAGACTTTCATTCATGTACAATGTCACACTAAGCTTGTGATTAGATTAGGCTGGAGGGAACATTATTGTCTGAAAAGTTGTAATCAGTTGAATATGTTAAAGAATGTCTTAAACATAAGTTATACTGAAAATTTTGGGATGATTTCAAATGTCTGAGCAAGAATTCCTTTTCATTCCCTACTTCTGTTAAATAATACTGTTATTGTTTAAAGGTGTACACTCTATCATATTCTTTCATTGTTAGGAAATTGTTAGGAAATCATTTGGGTTTGAAATTAAGTCACTTCATAATTCAGACAGCAAGCAGGTATCTTAATTTTCCCCAGTATTTGATAAATGTGCAATGTATTAGATGTGTGGCGTTACTCAGTGATGACGTACGTGTTCCATGTGGTGATGGAGGATTGTTTAGTGTTGCAGTACTTATGTCTGCAGACTTACCTGGTGATTGGGTGTGATTCATGTAGCCAGGCTTAGACCATATTTATAGGAAAACTCAGACAATGAAAAGATTTGACTGGTAAACAATAAATAGGCCCTGTGGATCTGGTTCAATAAACCCATCCACCCCAATGATAAACACCAGGTCCACCCCAATAACAAACACCAGGTCCCACCCACCCCAATAACAAACTCTAAGACCAACCACCCCTATAGTAAACACCAGGTCCATCCACCCCTATAATAAACACTAGGACCACCCACCCCTATAGTAAACACCAGGTCCATCCACCCCTATAATAAACACCAGGTCCTACCCACCCCTATAGTAAACACCAGGTCCATCCACCCTTTATAATAAACACTAGGACCACCCACCCCTATAGTAAACACCAGGTCCATCCACCCCTATAATAAACACCAGGTCCTACCCACCCCTATAGTAAACACCAGGTCCATCCACCCTTTATAATAAACACTAGGACCACCCACCCCTATAATAAACACTAGGACCACCCACCCCTATAGTAAACACCAGGTCCATCCACCCCTATAATAAACACTAGGACCACCCACCCCTATAGTAAACACCAGGTCCATCCACATCTATAATAAACACCAGGTCCTACCCACCCCTATAGTAAACACCAGGTCCATCCACCCCTATAATAAACACTAGGACCACCCACCCCAATAGTTAACACCAGGTCCTACCCACCCCTATAGTTAACACCAGGTCCTACCCACCCCTATAGGAAGCACCAGACCCTACCCACCCCTACTCTCTATGCCCTGATCCCAAGTATACAACCCTGATAAGTTAAACTGATCCATAATCTTACATCAGAGGTTTGACATTTGCGTTGCAATTCTTATCAAAGTTGTTAAAAGTTTGGTGATGAGGTCCTTCTCCAACTACTGTCATCGAGGTAACAAACTGAATCCAGAAAGGATTTGGTTCATGTTTGGGAGTCTTTTTATGTCTTTGTACCCAAGTCAGTGTGGAGTCAAGTGAGTGATGATGTTGTCAGAGTTGCCCTCCTACACTGGTGTACCAAGTTTGATATGTTCAGTACATTGTCAGTGTGGAGGCAAGTCAGTGATGATGTTGTCAGAGTTGCCCTCCTACACTGGTGTACACTGTTCAGTACATTGTCAGTGTGGAGGCAAGTCAGTGATGATGTTGTCAGAGTTGCCCTCCTACACTGGTGTACCAAGTTTGATATGTTCAGTGTGTTGTCAGTGTATGAGGCTTGTTCCTCTATGTGCCAATACGATTATGGATTCTGTCATTGTACAAGACATTATGTTTGATGACGGAGACATACAGCATAAACATATTTGTTATTTTGATATTGACCCATTAAGGATGTTGTGTTTCTATTTGTTAGCCCCGGTGAAATATGTAACATTCATAAAAGAATTTCATCCCAAACATTTATAGTTCAGCCTTACCAGTACCATAAATTCTCAAATATAGGCTCGGTCCAAAGTGTGTTCATTTCAAAAGCACCCATTTCTTTCATCAGGCCAGTGTCAGTTAGCCAGATTTTGTGCTCAAGTTTGTGATTGGTTCTTGACCATCTTAATACTGACCAATTTGGCTGATTAACATATGATGTCCTCAAGTTGGAGTTTAATTGGTCTAAATACAGCAGTGTTTGGTTAAAACTAAACACACACAACACACCCACAACACACACACCCACAGTCTGGTTGCCAGTCAATGAATACATACAGTGTTAAGACAACACAAGCATCAGAGTATTGGTACTCTTGCAGTATATTGATACCTGTCAGCTGTATTGATGGCACCAGCATTGGTACTCCTGCAGTATATCGATACCTGTCAGCCATATTGGTGGCACCAGCATTGGTACTCTTGCAGTATATTGATACCTGTCAGCTGTATTGATGGCACCAGCATTGGTACTCCTGCAGTATATCGATACCTGTCATACATATTGGTGGCACCAGCATTGGTACTCCTGCAGTATATCGATACCTGTCAGCTGTATTGATGGCACCAGCATTGGTACTCCTGCAGTATATCAATACCTGTCATACATATTGGTGGCACCAGCATTGGTACTCCTGCAGTATATCGATACCTGTCATACATATTGGTGGCACCAGCATTGGTACTCCTGCAGTATATCGATACCTGTCATACATATTGGTGGCACCAGCATTGGTACTCCTGCAGTATATCGATACCTGTCAGCCATATTGGTGGCACCAGCATTGGTACTCCTGCAGTATATTGATACCTGTCAGCCATATTGGTGGCACCAGCATTGGTACTCCTGCAGTATATTGATACCTGTCATACATATTGGTGGCACCAGCATTGGTACTCCTGCAGTATATTGATACCTGTCAGCCATATTGGTGGCACCAGCATTGGTACTCCTGCAGTATATTGATACCTGTCATACATATTGGTGGTACCAGTATTGGTACTCCTGCAGTATATCGATACCTGTCAGCCATATTGGTGGCACCAGCATTGGTACTCCTGCAGTATATCGATACCTGTCAGCCATATTGGTGGCACCAGCATTGGTACTCTTGCAGTATATCAATAACTGTCGGCTATATTGGTGGCACCAGCATTGGTACTCCTGCAGTATATCAATACCGGTCTGCCATATTGGTGGCACCAGCATTGGTACTCCTGCAGTATATGGATACCTGTCATACATATTGGTGGCACCAGCATTGGTACTCCTGCAGTATATGGATACCTGTCATACATATTGGTGGCACCAGCATTGGTACTCCTGCAGTATATGGATACCTGTCATACATATTGGTGGCACCAGCATTGGTACTCCTGCAGTATATGGATACCTGTCATACATATTGGTGGCACCAGCATTGGTACTCTTGCAGTATATGGATACCTGTCTGCCATATTGGTGGCACCAGCATTGGTACTCCTGCAGTGTATCGATACCTGTCTGCCATATTGGTGGCACCAGCATTGGTACTCATGCAGTATATCAATACCGGTCTGCCATATTGATGGCACCAGTATTGGTACTCCTGCAGTGTATTGATACCTGTTGGCCATATTGGTGGTACCAGTATTGGTACTCTTGCAGTATATCGATACCTGTCAGCCATATTGATGGCACCAGTATTGGTACTTCTGCAGTGTATCGATACCTGTCATACATATTGGTGGCACCAGCATTGGTACTCTTGCAGTGTATTGATACCTGTTGGCCATATTGGTGGTACCAGTATTGGTACTCTTGCAGTATATCGATACCTGTCAGCCATATTGATGGCACCAGTATTGGTTCTCCTGCAGTGTATCGATACCTGTTGGCCATATTGGTGGCACCAGCATTGGTACTCTTGCAGTATATCAATACCTGTCAGCCATATTGATGGCACCAGTATTGATACTCCTGCAGTATATGGATACCTGTCAACCATAAGTGGTACCAACATTGGTACCCTTGCAGTATATCAATACCGGTCTGCCATATTGATGGCACCAGTATTGGTACTCCTGCAGTGTATTGATACCTGTTGGCCATATTGGTGGTACCAGTATTGGTACTCTTGCAGTATATCGATACCTGTCAGCCATATTGATGGCACCAGTATTGGTACTTCTGCAGTGTATCGATACCTGTCATACATATTGGTGGCACCAGCATTGGTACTCTTGCAGTGTATTGATACCTGTTGGCCATATTGGTGGTACCAGTATTGGTACTCTTGCAGTATATCGATACCTGTCAGCCATATTGATGGCACCAGTATTGGTTCTCCTGCAGTGTATCGATACCTGTTGGCCATATTGGTGGCACCAGCATTGGTACTCTTGCAGTATATCGATACCTGTCAGCCATATTGATGGCACCAGTATTGATACTCCTGCAGTATATGGATACCTGTCAACCATAAGTGGTACCAACATTGGTACCCTTGCAGTATATCAATACCGGTCGGCCATATTGGTGGCACCAGCATTGGTACTCCTGCTGTATATTGATACCTGTTGGCCATATTGTGGCACCATCATTGGTCAACGCAACTGAGCATCAGCCGAAATTAAAATTGGCCTGTAGAGTAAAAAAGAGTTCCTGAATTTTGGAAAATAGAAAGTAACAGTCCTGAGTGGACAATGTTTGCCAAGAACCAATCACAGATGGGCATACTCTCCCTAAACACAACAAACCTATATAGGTTACTCTTCATGATCAGTATTACCTGCTGTAATTTAGCTGCTGCTACATATTGCCACACCCTCTACACATCAGACAATGTCTGTCTTCCACAGTCTTACCATATTGATGTTGTCTGTGATTACACATACTCAGTTGATCAATGTGATCTCAAGGATGTAACACATGCAGTCACTATTTATTCAGCACCTACTGTGTATAGTCATTGTATTTATGATGTGTACAACCCATGTGAACACACTGTAAACACTGTTCCCCATTGTCATCCCCCCCTAATACCCAGGTCAGGTTCACTGACGTTCAGTTGTCAGCCCCGACACTGTATATTCATGATGTTCAGCCCCGACACTGTATATTCATGATGTTCAGCCCCGACACTGTATATTCATGATGTTCAGCCCCGACACTGTATATTCATGATGTTCAGCCCTGACACTGTATATTCATGATGTTCAGCCCCGACACTGTATATTCATGATGTTCAGCCCCGACACTGTATATTCATGATGTTCAGCCCCGACACTGTATATTCATGATGTTCAGCCCCGACACTGTATATTCATGATGTTCAGCCCCGACACTGTATATTCATGATATTTATGTCTAGAACGTATGTGAAGACTTCATTCTGCTCCAGTGTCATTCTCCGCATCATCCACCCCCAATACCCACATCCACTCACATTCAGTCGTCACAGGGTCCGTACAGGCTTGGAAATGCTTTGAATTTTTTCGGTTCCTTTTGAAAAGCCTTGTTTTTTAGTGTCAACTTTGAAAGGCCTTGAAAATCACCAAATTTTCATGAATAGCCTTGAATTTGTACAAAGTGGCGTATACTTGTTAATCAATAATTAAAGCAGACTGAAGCATACCAAAGATGTTTGAGTGAGATTTATCACAGTGATAGATTTGTGTGCCAAAGACCCTAAAGAATTCATGGCTGACAATATTAATATATATTTTTTGTTGGGAGAAAAATATATCTTGTTGGAAAATATGTCATGGTCATTCTGCTTTTTATATAGTATGCTGAATTTAATGAAATATTGACAGACTAAGGCTAATAACCCAACTAAAAAGGCCTTGAAAAAGACTGTTGCAGCCATGGAAAGCCTTGAAAAGACCTTCAGTTGTAGTGGTCCATATCTGTATGAACCTTGCGTCAGCCCTGACACTTCATTCATTGTATTTATGATGGCTACAACTCCTATAACCCCTGCAATCTTCTCCTCATTGTCATCTACACCTAATACCCAGGTCAGACCCACTGACATTCAGTCATCTACCCCTAATACCCAGGTCAGACCCACTGACATTCAGTTATCAGCCCCTAATACCCAGGTCAGACCCACTGACATTCAGTCATCTACCCCTAATACCCAGGTCAGACCCACTGACATTCAGTCATCTACCCCTAATACCCAGGTCAGACCCACTGACATTCAGTCATCTACCCCTAATACCCAGGTCAGACACACTGACATTCAGTTATCTACCCCTAATACTTAAGTTATATTCAGGTGTCAGCAGGGACATTGCTTCTTCATGTGGAGCTGATTTCTAGTTGAGGTCTAGATGTTGTGATTAATTACATGTGTGAAACTGAGCTGGTAGATTACTATACAGCATTAATATTTGAGTTGACCCATGAAGATCCAGGGTGATCTTCAGCAAGCAATGCTTGGCGTAACAGATGACTATGATTGTCATAAGAGGCGACGAACGGGATAGGGTGGTCAGGTTCACTGACTTGGTTGATGCATGTCATCATTGCCATACCGATGCTCATGATGTCAATCACTGGACTGTCTGGTCCAGACCCTATTGTTTACAGACCACTGTCAAATAGCTGGAATATTGCTGAGTGTGGCGTTAAACAACAAACAAATTTATGTACTAAAATAGTTGCTAGGACTACCAACTGACTCAACCCAAGTCTCCCTGAACATTATCTCTATATCAACTGTGGGGCAGTCGGGTAGCCTAGTGGTTAAAGCGTTCGCTCGCCACGCCGAAAACCCAGGTTCGATTCCCGACATGGGTACAATGTGTGAAGCCCATTGCTGGTGTCCCCCGCCGTGATATTGCTGGAATATTGCTAAAAGCGGCGTAAAACCATACTCACTCACTCACTATATCAACTGTGATCAGTGCCTCAGCCAGTTTTATTTGAAAACATTTTGTGCATATGAGCTTGGAGTGGTTGGTGATATATCTTGCTATTTGGCCTTGTACTAGTTGGGTAGTTATTTTTAGCTCATGACAATTCCAATATTTCTTTTTTAGGTTTAAATTATTGCTTTGGGTATTCCTTTTTACAGTATTGACATGACTCCATGTGGGGATGAGAGGTGGTGAGTTCATAACATTGTCATTTGTTCAGCCTTTCTGTGCCAATATGGAGCTCGGTGCATTGTGTTTAAAAAAACGTGTACATTTTGTGTTTATTTTTGTGTGATATTGTACAGATCGAAATTGTGATACTGTCAAATCAAACCAATGTCTTTAAATTCTTCTTCATATTGTGTTTCTGCCAGATTAGTAGGTGATTATGATGGCCATTTGTTATATTTTATTTCCACAAATGTTGATTGTGTTCGCAGTGATGATATTATTTGGCAAACAAAGCTGCAAGTTTTAGTTGTTCTTAACAAAGTACAGATTTTCAAATGAGATTTTAAAGATAAAAATACTGTCTGGTTGGAACAAATGTATTTTGCATTGGTAGTGGCGTATTCAAAGGACAAATTCTGATTTTAGGTCATCGAAAAATGATTGATGCACAGGATTTAATTTTATACATACCACGAAGATTTCCAGGCATATCAGTATAGAATGACAGTGAAAGAGTTCTGTTGCCAGATGCATGGATTACCTCCCTTGGACCAGAAATGCAGTTGGTCTTGATGACCAGTTTTCAAAGTGGTTTCAGAGCTATAATTGTTGTCCATTTATGTTCACTGTGAGAGTAACAGTCTTAGTACTAAGATCATTTTGTGAAACAAGACCCTGGTACTTTTAGTTATGCAAATGTTGGATGATGATGGTATTTAGAATAATAATTGGTGCATCACTGCAGTTTAGGGAAGTTTCATGTGAGTAAAGGGAAGATTTCTTAGTGCTCTACATTATGGGGTAGGTGAGCTTGGACGTTTTGTAGAACTTAAATGATTGTCTCTGGAGATCATGAGAGTGTATGGGAGGGTTCCACCATGTGATCTTAGTGATCTATATCTTGAGGACCCGTGAAGATCCTGGGGTAGACTACGTCTTCAGCAACCCATGCTTGCCGTAAAAGGCAATTGCGTGGATCGATGTTCATGATATCAATCACTGGATTGTCTGGTCGAGACTTGATTATTTACAGACCGCCGTCATTTAGCTGCAATATTGCTGAGTGTGGCGTAAAACAACAAACCATCCAACTATATCTTGTGACTTAGGATAGTTGGAGTGCTAAGACCCATACAACGAAGGTACGCATTTCCCCATGTAACGTTTGCGCTAAGACAGTCAGAACTCCTTATCAATGAGACCAAGATAGGCAGAGCATAATGACCACTTTGTAGAACAGAGATCTTGACAGAGAGAGGATATGGGAGGATTCCACTGTATAATTTTAGTGCAAAGACTATTATAACTCCATATACTGAGACTTAGATGGTCGGTAGATGCTGAGACTGCTTTGTAGAATAAAGGTCCTGGGTGCCGTTGTACTAAGTGATCTTAACGTAAGGTGCTCGTAACTCCCATACTTTAACATAGACTTACGACAGTCGTAGCGCTACGGTTGTTTTGTACAACGGCACCCTGGTCTCTGATGCTGGTAGAGACGATAACAGTATGTGGGACTGTTCCACCACGTGATCTTGGTGCTAAGACTTGGAATAATCATAGGCATAGTCAGAGGTTGTTGGCTCAGTTGCAGGTCTGCGCTTTTACTGCTCAATATTGTCAACCTCTGGTTAATAGATAATACGTGGAATTTCAACACATACTTCTGAAACCTGTACAAAACTCAGAATTTGTCTTTATTATATGTCTAGATGCATGAGAAACTTGTGCCAATTATGTAGATATGTATTGTAAGCATTAACTAGGCACACGACTAGTGTGTGTCCCATGACATGATACAAATGCTTATGTTTTTTCATTGATCATATTTTTGCAAGAAATTTTACATGTCAGAAGAAAACCTAACACTAAATTTACTTTTTAATATTTTCAGTAAGGTGCTGTGTTTCATTTTAAGTTGTGGAATTCATTTTTAGGACAGTTTTGCATGATAAACTCAAAAACAGGACTTATTTATTGTATAACTTTATACATTGTTTAACATTTGGTTGCCATGGTTAACTGTAATTGTGATCTTTGGTTGTGACATTGTCCGGTCTTATACATCATTTAACAAGGAAACAAATACTTAATGATATTTCATTACGTTTTTTTATGGTTTGACTTCCCTATACAAGATCCCAAGAATTGATATTGAAATAAGAATGCAATCTGACTTTGAGACTTATTAAGTGTGTATTGAATAGATCGCTATCAGTCATTCAGACAGCATCTTTTTCTAAATGACACAATACATGTATTTGCTATTATTAGGATGGTGAGTAAATTTGATACACTGTAGTTATCATGGCATGCACATACTTAAATTTTACCTGAATTTAATTCTATCAATTAATGCAATAGTAAACAATAGAAATAAACAAAATGAACATGAGGTCTTGCATTGTCTTGTTTTATTTTTGCTAATCATATGAAAATATGGAGAACTCACACAAGATTCACAACACCTGAGTGAGTGAGTATGGTTTTACACCGCTTTTAGCAATATTCCAGCAATATCACGGCGGGGGACACCATAAATGGGCTTCACACATTGTACCCATGTCGGGAATCGAACCCGGGATTTCGGCGTGACGGGCGAATGATTTAACCACTAGGCTACCCGACGGCCCCTCAGCAGCACACCTGGAGGTTACAGGAGCTGATCTGACCTGCCCAGCATCTTCTGTACTTCTCTCAAACAACTTGACCAATGAAGCTGAAACATGGCATGTTTCTCACGACCTAGCTATAAGGAAACCGACATTGTTGATGAGGTTCCATTTCAGTTTTCACTATGGCTGCCATATTCCTTCATCGAGAATGCAATAAGTTTTTTAGATCATTTTGACGGAATTGTTTTAGTTATTTTTGTTGTTTTTTAAGCATCAGATTTCCTTCCGCCAACATTGGTTCATTAAAGGTGACTTCTTTTTTTTCCTTTGTAATAATAATGTCAAAGTATGATAATATTATACCCATTCATCAATCATTTGTAATCCGCTTTGTTTGTCATGAATGAAGTAGCACTATTCTTTACACAATTACACTACAGGCATGTCTGTTTGTCACCAGAACGAGGCTAAAGTCAAAATGTCTTGATCTTTTTTTAAGAACAGTTTTTCAATATGCACATATCCAGTGGTCTAGACAGATGTACACAGCAGACCAATTCCACTTATGTAGACAATGCAACATTTGATAAAGCTGACCAAAATGCTCTGATAATTTAAGTTGATGTTTGACACCGTTAAATGTTAGTCAGATTGAGGTTTGAAAAGGCATCACAACTGAATGTAATAATCCGGTGAGCGACAGTGACACAGAGCTTGGGTTTTGGATTGGGTTAGTTTGTTGTTTAACGCCGCACTCAGCAATATTCCAGCTATATGACGGCGGTCTGTAAATAATCAAGTCTGAACCAGACAATCCAGTGATTGGCATCATGAGCATCAATCCATGCAATTGGGATACAACGACATGCATCAACCAAGTCAGCGAGTCAGACCACACAATCCCATTAGTTGCCTCTTACGACAAGCATAGTCGCCTTTTACGGCAAGCATGGGTTGCTGAAGACCTATTCTACCCCGGATCTTCACGGGTGCAGAGCTGGGATTGGGTGGCTGCAAGGGGTGATTTGCCCTGATCATGTTTCTCGGCTTGTCAGCACCTGATCGATGTCAGCACCAACTCATGCCCATGGGTACAACAAAATAAGGTAAGCTTGCAAGACCTGCATCCCTTCTGGCTTTCCTCCAACATCAAGCTGACACGCCATGACATTGTTGTACTATTCACACACTGGATGACCACACATCACATCTGTTGTTAAATGCATAATTAGTTCATTATTTGCACCAACCAAATAAATAACGAGATGGTATTATTGTCATCAAAATAGTTTATTCAACAAAATGCCAATTTCTAATGCATAGTTTTTGATACAATGGTCAGTATTGGCGATATACAATAGAAATACTTCAGTCCACAGATCTACAACTCCAACTGTGTAAGATAACAGGTACATGGTTACAGGAATTATTGCAGGGGTCTTGGATTGGTATTTAGAAGTTTGTTCAACATGAAGGGCCGCTTGAATGATGAATATAGGAAACCTTTTATGGAAAACAACTTCTTTATTGCTTGTCGTGATATATCCGGGCTGGGCTACGCCTCGCCCCTCCATGAAATGGCGGTGGTGGTGATGCAAGAAGTAGCACTCAGACACCATGCAGTGATGACGGGGCAAGACTTACAGAGTTCGAAATTGGCACAAGTCCTGTAGTCCTTGCCAACTGCCCAATAGTTAGGGTATCCTAAAGACTAGTAGAGATTTGCCATTTTTAAGGGGATTGCGACATGTTATAAGGACTAGTGGATAAAAAATGTTAGTTTCTATTGCTGTAAACTGAAACATACAAACAACAGAAGTTGTTATCTACAAAACTGTTCATGCCTATACAGGACTCCTCAGGAAGCTATATACTGAAGGAAAGAACTAAGTCAACATGGCATCATAGAACTGCTGTCTTTACTGATTCCTGTCATCAGGATACATCAGTGATAATCAGTATGTTGTTTATTAAACATTTGCAAAACAATCTATTACTAAATATCGAAAAATTTCATTTAAAATTCATTCTTCCTTTTACATGTTCCCTAATTTCTTTCCATCAGTATATTGCCAACATAATATTCAAGGACCCTTAAAGAATATTGCAACAATTAAACATATTTGATTTATGAATGTATATCAGTAGTATAAGACAAAGTGAAGTGCATTATTCTGATAATAATGTGTAAAATGTTTCACTGCACATTAACATAGAGTAATAAATGGAACTATTTTCATGCAAATATAGGAACTTACATTTCAGGTACTGAACAAGGTTATTTTGTTCCATAAAATTGGATTCCAAGCATAGTGTAAATGCTGGAATTCATTGTGTGTTTCAGAATAGTAAATATCTTTTCCTTCTTACTAAGTTTTTGATTCACTGATAAGGCCTATAGTCACAGAACCCTCAACTAAACTGTCACATCTCGTGCATGCATCAAGGAAAGCAAATTTAGCTAACTGACGTAACACCGAAAACACTAAGTTTGTCAGCCTGACTTTCAGGCTGCAACTAGGAGTAGTTTTATAGTGTGGCAGCCACAGTGTAAGCAGTATCATGGCAACGTCTTCAATATTTGAAGTTTATTTCAAAAAAGTTCATGATCGTGATTTATCATATTGCTGGGAGTAACAGGTGCCCGTGTGCAGTATGTGTCAGAAATAGAGGAATGGCCACGCAGAAACCCAGGATATGAAAGACCATTATTTAAAGTGCAGGGCTGTGAAAACAAACCAGAACCAGAACTACTGAATATGCTTACAGACTGGAATGACATAAGAATTTCATTCCTATATTTCTTGGCTGATATTATCTTATGAATCTTCAGGAGTTCTTGTGTGCAATTCAAAGTTTAATAAAAATAGATAAATGAAATTTTTAAAAATGCAAAAGATGATTAACTCAATTATTACTGCAAACCACCCTATTCATGAAATTTCCATGAAACACAGGAGCTTTTCAAAAACAAATAAAATTCATCGTACAGGATTTTTTTTAATCATCTAAAAGATTGATTTGGATCGGTAGGTGATAAAATATTAACATGACCTTATTTGCATTCTTATGAATATCACTAAATCTGACAGCAGCATTTCATTATTATTTCTATTGTCAAAGCAACTCCCCTCTGAATGTTTTATTCTTAAGCCACAAAAATGTAAGGTCTAAACATGGAAATTCTTCAGAAATGTATGAAGTGATGCACTGGTCAGAAAATTCACTTGGACCTGGAGGTGGGCAGTTTTGTTTCCCAGGCTACACAGTACCATATGTTTAGGAATTTGTTATATGTCTGAAGTTAAAACAGGTCCTGAGCATCCAATTTGGTTTTAAGAAATTGAGGATTTCTTCCTGCCTGGCACCAGGGTTCCAACCACCACACTAAGAACATCCTGTTGTCCAAATATCATGAAGCAGATACAAATATTTAAATTTCAAATTTTTGATACACCTGAAAGTGGATAGTATAAAATAGGGTACAGTAAAATGAGGAATGAGAAAATCCTGATTTGTCTGACACTGACACATTCAACACTGGTTAAAGCTTGACCACTGGATCCTTGAAGATCCGGGTCAGAATGGGTCTTCAGCAACCCATTCTTGCCATAAAGAGGCGACTATCAGGATCGTATGGTCAGGCTCGCTGACTTGGCTGATGCATGTCATCATATTCCAGTTGTGTGGATGGATGCTCAAGATTCCAAGCAATGGATTGTCTGGTCCAGACTTGATTATTTACAGACCGCTGTCACATAGCTGGATTATTGCTGAGTGCAGCGTTAATCATCAAACACATAAACTATAGGCTTGACCAGAACATATCAGTTGCTTTGGTGTTGTTAGACTGAACACTCCACGCTACATATTAGGGTGAAATACATCTCTAATGTATAAATACAGTAACTGTAGGAGTCAAGATATAACTTCACATTTAGTTGCATCATGTAAATCACATAATTTGGCATTTCTTTCACGAGCACCATTCTAAATGACAAATTTCAAAACATGACTAATTAAGACACATTGGGTACTTTCAAATATAGCATCACACACAGGCACCAAATTCAGACCATTTCAACAATGGAATCAGACATAAAAACTTTAGAAAAGAGATTCATGCAGTTTATCAGCAAGGAGTAGTTTCATTATCTACATGATCTGGGCCCTGTACCACAAAGCAATCTTAGCGCTACGACTTTGGTAAGTCTATGTTAAAGTATGGGAACTATGACCACCTTAGTGCTACGACTTTGGTAAGTCTATGTTAAAGTATGGGAACTATGACCACCTTAGTGCTACGATTGTCGTAAGTCTATGTTAAAGTATGGGAACTATGACCACCTTAGTGCTACGACTGTCGTAAGTCTATGTTAAAGTATGGGAACTATGACCACCTTAGCACTACGACTTTGGTAAGTCTATGTTAAAGTATGGGAACTATGACCACCTTAGTGCTACGACTTTGGTAAGTCTTTGTTAAAGTATGGGAACTATGACCACCTTAGTGCTACGACTTTGGTAAGTCTATGTTAAAGTATGGGAACTATGACCACCTTAGTGCTACGACTGTCGTAAGTCTATGTTAAAGTATGGGAACTATGACCACCTTAGCACTACGACTTTGGTAAGTCTATGTTAAAGTATGGGAACTATGACCACCTTAGTGCTACGACTGTCGTAAGTCTATGTTAAAGTATGGGAACTATGACCACCTTAGCACTACAACTGATGTAAGTCTATGTTAAAATTTGGGAACTATGACCACCTTAGTGCTACGACTTTGGTAAGTCTATGTTAAAGTATGGGAACTATGACCACCTTAGCGCTATGACTGTAATAAGTCTATGTTAAAGTATGGGAACTATGACCACCTTAGTGCTAAGACTGTTGTAAGTCTATGTTAAAGTATGGGAACTATGACCACCTTAGTGCTAAGACTGTCGTAAGTCTATGTTAAAGTATGGGAACTATGACCACCTTAGTGCTACGACTTTGGTAAGTCTATGTTAAAGTATGGGACCTATGACCACCTTAGTGCTACGACTGTCGTAAGTCTATGTTAAAGTATGGGAACTATGACCACCTTAGCGCTAAGAATGTCGTAAGTCTATGTTAAAGTATGGCAACTATGACCACCTTAGTGCTACGACTTTGGTAAGTCTATGTTAAAGTATGGGAACTATGACCACCTTAGTGCTACGACTTTGGTAAGTCTATGTTAAAGTATGGGAACTATGACCACCTTAGCGCTACGACTGTCGTTAGTCTATGTTAAAGTATGGGAACTATGACCACCTTAGTGCTACGACTGTCGTAAGTCTATGTTAAAGTAGAGGAAATATGACCACCTTAGTGCTATGACTGTCGTAAGTCTATGTTAAAGTATGGGAACTATGACCACCTTAGCGCTACGACTGTCGTTAGTCTATGTTTAAGTATGGGAACTATGACCACCTTAGCGCTACGACTGTCGTTTGTCTATGTTAAAGTATGGGAACTATGACCACCTTAGTGCTACGACTGTCGTTAGTCTATGTTAAAGTATGGGAACTATGACCACCTTAGTGCTATGACTGTCGTAAGTCTATGTTAAAGTATGGGAACTATGACCACCTTAGTGCTACGACTGTCGTAAGTCTATGTTAAAGTAGAGGAAATATGACCACCTTAGTGCTATGACTGTCGTAAGTCTATGTTAAAGTATGGGAACTATGACCACCTTAGCGCTACGACTGTCGTTAGTCTATGTTAAAGTATGGGAACTATGACCACCTTAGTGCTACGACTGTCGTAAGTCTATGTTAAAGTAGAGGAAATATGACCACCTTAGTGCTATGACTGTCGTAAGTCTATGTTAAAGTATGGGAACTATGACCACCTTAGCGCTACGACTGTCGTTAGTCTATGTTTAAGTATGGGAACTATGACCACCTTAGCGCTACGACTGTCGTTAGTCTATGTTAAAGTATGGGAACTATGACCACCTTAGCGCTACGACTGTCGTTAGTCTATGTTAAAGTATGGGAACTATGACCACCTTAGCACTACAACTGTAGTTAGTCTATGTTTAAGTATGGGAACTATGACCACCTTAGCGCTACGACTGTCGTTAGTCTATGTTAAAGTATGGGAACTATGACCACCTTAGCGCTACGACTGTCATTAGCCTATGTTAAAGTATGGGAACTATGACCACCTTAGCACTACAACTGTAGTTAGTCTATGTTAAAGTATGGGAACTATGACCACCTTAGCGCTACGACTGTCGTAAGTCTATGTTAAAGTATGGGAACTATGACCACCTTAGCGCTACAATTCCTTTATGGAATGGGGCCCTGTAGTGGTTAATCATACATTTAAATCGATGCCGTGAAACTTCATTAACCTCATCCTGGGAACCATAGACTAGATGCCAAATTATCAGTAGTTGTGCTGAAATTAGACCATTGTGCAGATAAGAATGTTCCCAGATGATAAAGTTGGATCCGAACAAAGGAATTTGTAGCTGCGCACATATAGAAATCCTATGTTTTTATTACCCATGTATCCTATAAGGCTAAGACCAAAAAGGAATGACTGTTGAATTGGATCAGACCAAAACAAAACTATAAGTATGACCCCAAGAAAGCAATTCTAGGAAGCTTTTGGATAGAGACTTAGAATTATTTTTTTGGTACTCCTTCTCGGCTTGACCTCGTAGGATACATGGATGATGAAAAGATGTATTTATGTACAGCTACGAATACCAATGCTCTGAACACATTAGATTGCGTTATGGCTAGTAGTTTCTGTTTCACTGATAGCAAAATTCTTTGGAGTCCTTTTTGTCCTAATCTCTGGTGGTTCCTCGGCATAGATCGATATGTATTGAAACCCAGAGGTGAAACGATACAGCAAGCTCATGATACAATACATATCACAATACATAGGACACGATATGATACACATCGCGATATGCATATATACGTCAAATCGCGTGGAAACTTCTTGGCTACAAATATGTCAGAGCAATTTGCAAAGGAAAAGCTTTTAGTAGTGAACTTGAAAAGCTAGCGACAGTTTGCCACTAAGGTGGCTATATCCCCCGCCCCTGTTGCAGAATTTATGACATAATTAAATCTAATCAAACCCTAACCATTTTTAACTTGTCATGGAAATTGTAAAAAAAAAGAGTTTGGAACCTAAGTCCATCTTGTTGCCATGGAAACATAAACAATAAAAATTTCTAAAATTTCTAAATAGCAAAAGGCACCAGTTCAGCATGTACCTGACAAACCTGCAAAGTTTCATGAAAAAATATTGAACGGTTTCTGAGTTATGCTCCGGAAACGAAACGTGCCGGACGGACGGAGTCCGTTTCTATATCCCCCGCCAACTTTTTTGGGCGTGGGATAATTACAACACATTTTGCGATACGTCACTCACAAAAACGCTGGGGACAGGGGGTCATTAAATGAATTCTAAGTTATTTATTTCAGCAAGTGTATCGTCCTGTATCGATATAGGAAAAAAATGTATCGTGTATCGTATTGTCACATGAAAACTCACGATGCACCAATATATCCATTCACCCCTAATTGAAACATACAGATCTACTACCTAACTGAGGTAGAGACAGTATCGGCAGCATTGGGGGTCACAGAAGCTGAGTACATGATTCACAACCACACAGCCAAACCCATGGCTCTAAAGCACAAACTCAGAAGTATATGTACACTGCCTATCACATGTATACACTCAATATGTTCACTCCAAACTTCATTTGTACACAAACTTCACAAATACATGCGCACTACATCTGCTCGTAGTCAGTCACGCTATTCAAAACATATCAAGACTAAACATCAGAAAAACTACTGCATTCTCTGGCAAAGTAACTTCATGCACCCCTTCTACAGCATTTGATTTATTTGGTTCAACAGTTATTTTATAGAATGGGTTTCAACAGGGCATCTAATGTTAGACTATTACCGTATATCCCTGTAATATGACCCACCTATAATGCCCCCTGATTTACAAACCCCCTCTATAATGTGATCCGGATTGCAGCTCATCAGCAGAGTATACATAAGTCCCCAACGCTGTAAAAATATTTATTACAAAAACTGTCCTAGTAATAGTTATTTCCGATGAAACAGATGCACTGTCAAACGTCATTGCTGTCATGTTCATCTTCTACACAGCACATAACCCCATTTCATTCACTCTTCATTCTAGATGCCAAACACTACAGATGAAGATATACGGTAGTAATTATTCAATAACACTTCTCAAGACAAGAGACCTGAATGTACTGTCAATCATTTGCAAATGACAAACATTGAACACTTCACTCACAAATCATCTTAATCTTCAAAACTAGAAATATTAGTAAACATGGTGCACAACACCATTTACTAAATCAAGACAGGTATCAGCTGTTCACCCTCATATAGGAAGGGATGCCATATTAAGACTGCTTGTACAGGGGACCATCCTAAAAAGTAATTTAATTCGGCTTATTTATACCTTTCATCAAATTGACCACAGTCCATAATATAACTGATCAATCATTAAATGTTCTAAATACTAACAAGTACCAATTGTTGAAACCTTGTTTGATTGACATACAGAACAGCAGAGCCCCATATCTAACAGTGCTGCTAGTGATACGCTGGTTATTCCACTGATCAACAGCTGGGGAGACTTTTATACAGTCTAGCTGCCTGCTGGGAGATGTCCTCGGAGTCGTGCCTCGTCAGCGGGTACACCTTGCTTCTGATCTGACTGAGATTGTTCACACCAAATATGGCAGAGTACATAGTTTCTGGGGATGCTGCTTTGTCATCAGGGGGAAGAGACGAGGATGTGACGTCTTCTTTCTGTGCGGTTGAAACTACATTGGCTAGTAGCGTGATTAATCGCAGAGACATGTTGGGATCGGCTGTCTTTTCCAGGAGGGACATCATACATGCTGGTGCCTACAAATGAAGTATGAAGAGCGTTAAAAAATTAAGAATGAATTTCAAGGTGTTCTTTTCATAACCTGGTATATAAAAAAGGTTCAGGGGTCCTATATTAAAAAATAATAGTAGGAAAAAGCCAAAGTGCCCAGACACCTTCCTACATTCATCCCCTGCACACAGTGGTAAACAGAGTACATTTTGTTAGATATGTGTAGATAATACAGTAGATAGTTAGTGTTTTTTACTTTAGAGGTGTGGTGAAATAGGGTTAACGTTGCATTTAAGATTATTTCAATTGTATAGCAATGTGCATACGTGTGAGTGTGTGACTGCTTGTACTAGTCCAGTCTAATGCCAGTTTCCTAGTGTCACTGAGATACCATGCCACGGTTTAACATGGATGCCACACTCAGACACATTATACTGACTCTGAGCCGACCGGTCCTTGTTTTATCCCCATAATGCAAAACATAAGGAAGGGTAACAACAAGTACCATCTTTTAAAGTCTTTTGGCATGACATGGCTGGGGATAGAAACACCGACCTTTCTCTCTCCCTGCAAGCAGATACTCCATCCACTATACAAGAGGCAGTACTTTTATTTTTGAAAAAAGACACTGTCATTAACCAACACAAATCAGGATCCAGGATCCAGGATAAATCATATCAAAGGTATTACTCTCTTCAAAACAAACAAATGTATACAATGTATCTGTTTATTATAGGGTGGGAATAATATCGGTTTGCATGTTATGGTCAAGGTTCTTACTCCTTTGGGAGTGCCGGACAGATGAATAGAAGGGCCAGTCCTGGTAGCATATGTGCATTCCTCTCATTATACTCTCAATTGTACATATGGTTATAGACCCATGAAGATCTGGGGTAGAATAGGTCTTCAGCAACCCATGCTTGCCGTAAAAGGCGACTAACGGGATTGGGTGATCTGGCTCGCTGACTTGGTTGATGTATGTCATTGATCCCAAATGAGTGGATCAATGCTCATGATATCAATCACTGGATTGTCTGGTCCAGACTTGATTATTTACAGACCGCCATCATATAGCTGGAATATTGCTGAGTGAGGCGTTCAACAACAAACCAACCAACCAACATATGGTTATACCGTGGGGATCTTGACTGTGTCCAAGTTATAAACTCTTTTTAGCCCCTTAGTCCCCGGGGGTGGGGGTTGGGTTCAGCCCCTCCATTTCTCCATTTGGAATCCCCACCATTGCTTCCAACCAAATATGGTTGATAACTATCTCGAAGTTCCAGAGAGGAAGTCATTTAAAGCAAAAACACCAAATTACCCTTACTCAGCTCCTCCATTTGTACAAATTTGAATCCTCACCACCAGAAAATGTTTCCAAACATATATGGTCGATATCTATTCTTAGTTCCAGAGAGGAAGTCATTTACAGCAAAAAAACTAAATTACTCCTATTCGGCCCCGCCCCTTGGAATCCCCACCACCTAGGGATGCTTCCAGTCAAATTTCGTTAATTTCATTTAGTGGTTCAGAAGAAGAAGTTTAAATACATTGTTGACGTACGGACGATGGACGGATGGACAACGGATGCCACGGTATCCCATAAGTTCCTCCCGGGGAGCTACTAAGTACTACTGTCCCATGATTGGTTGACAGAATGGGTGGGGCTTGTGGTGCATTATTGCGCTGAACAAAGTCACTGATTTCATACTGATCATATACTGTCCACAGTGTTTTTGTGTTCATGATTAAATAACTACTCTGTGAAGTTATTATTGTTGACACGCATATTCATAAGAATTGATTTCAATATGTTTTTGCGTTAATGGAGCTATAAATGTACAAAAGACAGGGTGCACCCTGGTCATCAGTCACCAGAAGATGACAAGTCGCTCTGGCCCCCACTAATTCGAAAGAACAAATATCTGGTAAGTCCAACTTGGTGAGAGAATTTCTATACAATCTGTCTGACTGTATACAAGAGAGGTTATTGAGCTATCAAACCAATACCAAGTAATCAGTAATTGGGATTCGTAACTTTGTATTTCTATGTCAGGTGTGCAGCAATATGAACAGAGTCGGAAAAAGGGAAAACATAAAAATTCTAAACATCCATCAATAGCAAAAGACACGAATTGACAACCTGGCCCTTGTGTGTGCAAAGTTTCATGAAAGAATACCTATTAGTTTTAGAGATATGGTCGGACAAACACACCACTATGAACAGAGTCAAAGTCAAACTTGTTGCCATGGAAACGGAAAAAATAAATATTCTAGAAATCATTAATAGCAAAGGTTCCCAGTTGACAAGCTGATAGTTATCAGATTAGTTTTAGAGATATGATCCAGGCAAAAAATGAGAGACAGATGGAAGGACGGACAGAGTAACTGATAACTATAACACCCCCCCTTGTATTATGGGGGAATAAAACTGTTAACAAGTGCACCTAGCATAGGAAAATGCACACTAACACTATTCTTTTTTTTCACTCGACAGTAACCAAAAAACTGTAGATTTTTAAATTCCTATCTAAAAGTACTCTTCAGGCAGATCACCTGACATCCTTAATGGAATACTTTCAATGCATGCACTAGGTAGTCAAAAGGATAGACTAGAGACACTGACAACCTACTCTACCTAGAAGTCCCTAGTGGGAAAGAACATAACATTACTGACAATAGCCGGATTTGAATATTTCATTTAAATCAGGAGGCACTGGTAGACCAGTAGTCTAATGCATCGCAGTTTGCTGTGCCAAGTTGTATACCTTGGGCAGGGCAGGATCCTATGATAATTAAACAATTCAAGAAATCAAGAAGAAGTGGATTCCTACTTCATTTAATACCACTGCATATCTTACCATTGTTGCTCACAAGCACACAAATTGTTTATATTTAACAATCACACTTTTTAGATAATTCGCAAACACCACATGAAAAATCAGGATAAGAATGTTGAGATCCATACACAAAAACTCTAAGGCTTTCAAACATTCAACACTAATGTAAAACATTCAAAGATCAATGCCCGGATTACCTTGGCGGCAAGTAGATGTTTGACCATCTCGGAGTTGCAGGAGAGGTTGACAAGCAGCTTGATTGCCTGGATACGGACGACTCTGTTGCCGACGTCGAGCAGATCGTACAACTGCTGTACTGCACGTGTGTACTGGCCGTGGTAGGTGGGTGTGGTGGACAGGTTGGTCAGTGGTTGTAGGGAAGACAGCTTCACGTTGGACGACATGCCTTCATGCATCACCAGGTCTATCAGTATTGGAATACACACCTGGAGACAATGTCGTGAGTGAGCCAACTTTGTTTCATACAATAGTTATCATACAATAGTTTTCAAACAATAGTTATCATTGAAAATAATTCAAAGAATACTACCTCTATTACATCAATGCCTTAAATCCTGTATTTTGGCTGATATCACACAATAAACTTTTCAGATTATCAACAGACGTCCTTTTCATTGTCAATTTGTTTTAATCCAGAGTTGTCGCTAGTACACCTAAACATCAGTGCTTCAGATTGCAAGGTGACGATGGGGTAGCCTAGTGGTTAAAGCGTTCATTCATCACGCCAAACGCAAGGTTTCTGTTCCAACATCGGTACAATATGTGGGAAATCCCCATTTCTCGTGTCCCCTGCAGTGACATTGTAGGAATACTGCTAGATGCAACGAAAAAACATACCAAGTCACTCACTCACTCATTCAGATTGCAAGGGGTGTTGGTCATTAACCTTTAAAAAAATAATAATTTACATGGACCTCCATTTCTGAGCCATATGGGTCCTTGGGCCTAATAGTTATGACACCTGATCAGCCATTTTCCTAGGCAGCGGGTCACAACTCAATCTGTACCTCGATGGCCTGTCAGCACATTATCCTTTTGGTTTTTTAAATTAACACCGTATTCACCAACATCACAGCTAGGACTGCTTCCTGTAAACATTCAACTGCCTTTAAACATTCATGTCTGATCACTCCATGCACTGCACAGCCTTATGTGATAATAGCTTTATGGGGACCTATTTTCCCAGACTCTCCACAGGGAATCTAGCCTGACCATATGAACCAAAGGTTGATAGCATGAACAACAAACCATGCCAGACAGCAACAATTGTTTCATGATTGTGAACAATATACATATTACAAAAACAAATTCACAACACATTGTTTGTGCAGAGGCAAAATGTGTTTCATGTTCTTCTGGGCTTGTTTAGATATAATGGGACCCGTGAAGATCTAGATTAAAATAGGTCTTCAGCAACCCATGCTTGCCGTAAAAGGCGACTATGCTTGTAGTAAGAGGCGACTAACAGGATCGGGTGGTCAGACTCGCTGACTTGGTTGATGCATGTCATCGTCTCCCAATTGCATGGATTGATGCTCATGATGTCAATCACTGAATTGTCTGGCCCAGACTCGATTATGTACAGACCCCCGTCACGTAGCTGGAATAATGCTGAGTGCGGCGTTAAACAACAAACAAACAAACAAACAAGATGTAATGACCACACATACTGCATCAGCCAATCAAGGACAGAGAGTTAACAGGGCTCGTGCAGAACATTGTTTTTGCAACAGAAATTATAGAAATATATAGTACCCTTAAAATTCAGACTAGTATTACTAGTAACATTGAGGCAAACTGCAACTCTGCAGCAGATTTTTGTGAACTGGTGGAAATAAAAACACTTCTCACCCTGCCATGACCCTTGAAATCACTGATAAACGTACAAACATGACAGAGCTTGTATACAACTGTTTCATAAGAAGCTTATGATAAATCTTTCTACGTTATGAACAACCAAATAACAACCTGGTTCCACGAAGTACAAATTAAGTGTATTATACGTTCAGTTCCTACTTGTTTCTATCCACCAGCTGACATCCTGTTGCGAGCTGAAGATAATATTTACAGTTGAGAAAGCAGCTTACTCCACTCAGCAAGAGACACACATCAAAGGAGAGGATGCACGTTGCTTACTAATCTCCACTATTTCGTATCTACTGTTCTTTAAAAATAATCTCCACTATTTCGTATCTACTGTTCTGTAAAAATACATCAAGGAAGAATTTTAATGCCACGGTCCCCTAGACTCTCCTATGATCAAAATGTCATAATGACTTATTAAAAAGGGCTGGGACAAGTCCAAATTTACTCCCCAGGTACCCACCCCCCTATTACCCATCCCTACCTGGGTACCTGCTGTAGGTCTCAAGAGATGGGTACAAAATGTCCGATTGGGAATTGTTCAATAAGAGCCCTGGTTAAAACTGTTTAGGTAAACTACAAAACAATCTGGTCATGCAAACAACGAAGTTGACTGACGATTTGTCCTTATTCAAACACACATGTCAGAAGGAATGCGTGCACAGTCATAAAGAAATGAGAACATTTGTGACTTGTAGTGTTACCATGGTGTTCTGGATAATTTTTGTCATTAAACAATATATCATGTGACTAACCACGGGTCCGGGTAGTCTTGTGGGTACCCGGGTCCTACTCAGTACCCACCCATCCTGAACACCCGAGTTCCCAGACCTATCATATGACATCAATTTCAGTTGACAGTAGTATCTGAGCGATGACCAGAATTATCCATTCCATTCAAATTATTATTTATCCAAATCATTTATCCAAATTATATACTTTGCCTTGATCATGATGAATTTATTTATGAATATCTTGACACACAGGTCAAGATACAAGAAAATGTGACACATGCCATGTTAATGAGCCATAGTCCATCATCCAAAGTTAAGGTTGAAATGAAAATCTAAGTCTAAAGTGTTTGTTAGTTGTACAATGTACTAGTAATGAGAACTCTTGTACATGCCATCAAAAAATAATATTTGTACAATTTAAATTAATATCATAGAACAAGTCCTCCTAATATATACTATACATATACCAATTTGCACCATTTTGTATCATTTTGTATCTATGCAACATGATCTAGCATGATACACTAGTCATGGAATGGCATAAGTATCACCATGTGTGATACTTCGTTGAATCAGGACAAAATTCAAAGATGTTTCTCCCAATCCCAAAACAACTACAGAATTTAGCTAAAAGAAAAATAGGAATTATTTTACTTATAATCTTCACCATATGATACACCTAAATACAGGTGTCTAGAAGAACAATCACCACTTTTATGAAACTCACCTCCAACTTTGCCTGATTGGCGACATCCATTGACAGGTTCATGATCGCGTTGTTGGTGGCCACGAGAATGCTCTCAGTGATCGCCGTCCCACCAACGAGGGCTTTACTATGCACCTGGAGAAGTCGCAACAATTCTTCAGGGCACCTGTTCTCCCGCAGGGTTTTCTGAAAATATTTGACTTCATGATTGGGGACCGTCTCAAAATCCAATTCTGACAATTCAGAAGGACACTGCTTGTGTGGTCACATGTATGTGTTAATGATCCTCGAAGATGACAAACGTGTGAGACAAGGACAAATGCTGCTTTTTCTAAGTTATATACACAAAGGGTGAGGAGGATCCTGATGCATCAGTAGGAAACTCTGGACTTGTTTAACTTTATCTGCAGCCAGGACACAGTTTACATTCAGAATATGTGAAGAAAGGGATTCCTGACCCATGAAGGTTAGAATTTAGTTTCTGTAGTCATGGTAGAGGAAAGGTCATTGAACATTTCTATACAGTTGAACCTTGTTGTCTCAAACTCATTGGGACAAGACTGATAGTTTGGATTATGTGGGTTTCAATACAACCGACTCGACCTTATTACTTTCTGACAATACTATCAGACAACAGAAAGAAAACGTATCACATCGTGCATGTTATGAAAATAACATTTATATAAGAAGAAATGAAAACAGAAGTCTACAGTTAAGCATCTATACATATCGTTTTCATGTCAGACCTGTCAGCAATTTTTTTAACCCATGCTTGCTGTAAAAGGCGACTAAGCTTGTTGTAAGAATCCACTAAAGGGATCGGATGGTCATGCTCTCTGACTTGGTTGATGCATGTCATTGTATCCCAATTGCATGGATCAATGCTCATGATATCAATCACTGGATTGTCTGTCCATACTTGATTATTTAAAGACCACTGTCATATAGCTGGAATATTGCTGAGTTAAGCAACAAACAAACAAACAATTTTTCACATCACTCATAGCATCATATAAGTATAACAGTACATAAAATCAACAATGTATCAAGGTTTTAACTCATTCTAAACTCTTGGGACTACACATTGAGTCTGAGACTAAATGGAATTCATCACATCTAGCTTGACACACCTGGGTTATAATATTAATAGTGATAAATATAGTAAGTGTCTGACAGGACTGGACTGGGAGTTTTACACAACCGTAGATGTGGCACATCCAATTTTGATTATTATAATAACTTCACAGAATGTTTGTTTAATCATTAACAAATCATTAAGACAAAACACTATAGACAAAAAAATGAAATCAGTGAAACAGTTCAGTGCAATAATACAACAGAAGCGATAAAAGTAGTCCACTAGTGGGTGATACCTAATCATGGAAATGTAATTGAAAAATGCAAAAACAATTGCTTGGTGAGCCAATCAAATGCCATGGAATCCCTTGCAACTTATTTGTTTATTTGTATACTGCTATTCTTTGTTTTATTTACCATAAAAACATAATTCAAGAACAAATTGGAAAATGTTTTGAAGTACTTTGAACACTTCAGTTCCTCACTGAACACATGTTTTTCTATTAAGTCACATCTTAATTAGTCCCTAATAAAGTTGATACAGACTTATCCTCCAGGAGCAAGATCTTCGCTTCCTATCCTGAAACTAGGTGTGTCAACATATATATGTGTAGTCATATCTAAATTTCATCAAACCAAACTATTATATTGATGGCCATCAATCACTTATGGTATATGCAGTCTCAATGAAATAAAGATTGTTGGGAGGGGCTGTCTCAAACAAAATATAATGTCCTGGCAAAAAAGGAGTTGTTAAGATGAAAATTGCTTGGAACCAAACAGCAGAAGATATCTGCAATATCACAAAAATGTTAATGTGTGACAATGTAATGTTGAGAATTTGCAAAAGGATCCTTTCCACAGAAACCATTTTCACTGCTTGGACTTGATGATCAGTGAAGATGGTTTCTGTTGAAAAACTGAAGATTTTATAGTCTGATGACAGCCAAAATACAGAATATATGACAAAGATGTAGTAGAGATTTTGTATTTGCAGGAATTATTAACTTGTAACCATGATCATGTTTTTCATTCCAGCTGACATCTGTGAAACTGTTATGGACCGACACAAATTAGGTGAAGTCTTTGAAAGGCTTTAATAAGTGATACACATAAGGAAGAGAATTATGGATGTCAACTTCTTTATTATGAGGAGCCCAACGTTTCAAAGTATAAACTTATTCCTTCATCAGGTGAATGATGAATACATTCACCTGAGGAAGGAATAAGTATATACTCCGAAACGTTGTGTTCCTCATAATAAAGAAGTTGACATCCATAATTCTCTTCCTTATAAATTAGATGATTCAATTACAAGCTTAAATTACCTCCCCATAAAACAAGGTGGTTAATGCCAAACATATATAGATATAAAGTTATGAATTTCAGTGATCACAAATGTGTGGACATGCTGAATGCTAACATGGATCAGTTACAATCCTTTAGATTTTAATCATTTTACCCTGAATCTAAAGAAAGGAATTGGAAACATCCCAAAACCTCATTTTTCAAGCTAGCATCAGCATGTTCAGTGCTGTCAATAAAGAAATTTTCAGTTCTTCAAGAACACAATCAGTCCTCTTCAAATATTTGTTCAGGTCATAAAACATAATGACATTGTTCCAATAGGTAGCATTGTTCTTAATAACATATCCAAGCCTTGCATCAGACCACTCTGGTACATGGGGTCGACACACTTCTTCCACCACTTTAAACATCATTGCTTTTTCAGTTTGCCAAGTAAATATAAAACTGCTTTTCCAGGTGAAGTTGACAAATCAATATGATTACACAAGGTAATTACAAAACACCCCATACACTATTTCCCTGATATGCACACACAATCAGCCTCCTTTGCTAATTTATTCACCTGAATGCTTCAACATCAAACTGATCCTAATATTGAATTTCATGGGCTTCATCGAACCTGCTAAACATCTGAAGTTTGACATGCTCCCTGTCTGACGTCCGGAAGATAAACCAACAAAGTTATTTTTCGAACCAGTCATTCAGAAATGTAGGATGTTCATTTACTGTTTATCTGACAAATACGTGGCTGTGTTTTGTTGACGGTGCGGACACTTGGGTAAATCAACAAAGAATACCATTCATTCAATGTTGTAGCCATGTACAGCAATTACAAACCAAAGATAACACATAATACAGACTCTAAGTACATTTCAATACATTTGACAGTCTGTTTCAATAATACACCTCACACATTCATATCAGACAACTTATGGTGTTCATAGACGGATGAAAATGTTTGTTTGATTTAAAGAAATATGTTATCAATGTTTTCACATCTTGGCCTCAACCAGCAAAGTTGACTATCTTCATTTACCAATCATCTTTTGAAATAAATAGGTGTAAATCAAATCTATTTTTAATATTTTATCATGTTTATATCCAAATGACATGAAGTGGATTTGTAACATTCACCAGTCCATAAATTAATTTCATCAACATGATCAATGTTTATTTATTATTTAATTTATTTATTTAATCATCAGTATCAACTGGTAATGAATATTAACCTGAAATAGTGAGTGAGTGAGTGAGTGAGTTGGGTTTAACTTCGCTTTTAATAGTATTCCAGTTATATAGTGGCGTGTCAGCTTAATGTAGGAGGAAAGCCCGAAGTGATGCAGGTCTCAGACGTTTACCACTTCGGTGAAACCCACGGGCATGCATATGGTGAGGACAAACCTAGAAACAATCGGGGCGAACTGGGATTGGCACCCACAATCATAGGTTTATGGTGTCCTAAGGGACACAACTCCCTTACACGACTGAAATAACTTATGGCCAAAGCAGTGTATTGTTTGTTTGTTGTTTAACGCCACACTCAGCAATATATTCCAGCTATACGATGGTTCGTAAATAATCATGTATGGACCAGATAATCCAGTGCTTGACATCATGACAGTTGGAATACGATGAGATGCAATCAAACAAGTCATAGAGCCTGAGGGGGGCACGGGTGGCCCAGTCGTCTAAGGCGCCGTGATTCGCTGTGCAGAGTTGCGTCCCCTGGACACGCCAGAAACCTATGATTGTGGGTTCGAATCCCGGTTCGCCCCGATTATGTTTCTAGGTTTGTCAGCACCATACCCGTGCTCGTGGGTTTCACCGAAGTGGTAAACGTCTAAGACCTGCATCACTTCGGGCTTTCCTCCCACATTAAGCTGACACGCCGTGATATAACTGGAATAATGTTAAAAGCGGCGTTAAACCAAACTCACTCACTCACTCATAGAGCCTGACCATCCAATCCATTCAGTCAAATCATACAACAGTGAAAGAACTGGTTCTTTGCTGGTCATAAGAAGTGTTTGTTTGTTGTTTAACACTGCACCGCAAGGTGGTCTGTAAATAATCGAACAGACAGTCTAGTGATTGACATCATGAGCATCGATCCACGCAATTGGGATACGATGACAAGCAGCAACCAAGTCAGTGAGCCTGACCACCTGATCCCGTCGGTCACCTCATAAGACAAGCATAGTCGCCTTTTACGGCAAGAGTGGGTGGCTGAAGACCTATTCTAACCTGGATGTTCACGGTTCCTTAAGAGGTGACAAAGTGGATTGGGTGGTCAGGCTCCATGACTTAACTTGTTGATTGACTCTCATCCTACTCCAGCGACATGGACCGTTGTTCATAATATCAATGACTAGATTGTCTGATCCAGACTCAATTATTTACACGTCATCGTCATTAGGCTGAAATATTGCTGAATGTGGCGTTAAACAAACAAAAAAAAGAAGAAAATTTCCATTTCATATAAGAGTGAGTATCACTCTCTCTCTGTTTCTTGTCTAACTGTAACACTGTGTTTATTAGGTTTGTTTGTTTGTTGTTTAACGCCACACTCAGTAATATTCCAGCTACATGACGACAGTCTGTAAATAATCGAGTCCAGGCAATCCAGTGATTGACATGAGCACTCAGCTACACAAATGGGATACGATGACATGCATCAACCAAGTCAGTGAGCCTGACCACCCAATCACGCTAGTATCCTCTTACAACGAGCACAGTCACCTTTTACAGCAAGCATTGGTTGCTGAATGCCTGGATCTTCACTGGTCGTGTTTATTAGGAGAGATATATACATACAGTGATACTGTGTTTTCAGTTTAGTGAAAGGTTACTTGTAGATTTAACAGCGCTTAACTGAATAACATAGCAGAGTTTTCAAATGTTAAATTCAGCGAGCTTTAGCTCTACATCTACACATTGTTTCCGTCTCAGTTCTACTATGACAAAATTAGTCGCAAACCTTTGGGGTTGGCCAAGATATCTAGTGAAATGTTATAGGATCAGTCCAATATTTTGAGTGGGTTGTCGATCTGAATTAATGAAACACAATGATAGCCTCTTAACTAAGTATGGCTCTGTATATCCACAAACATGATTTTTACATTTTTATACTTGACTTGCATATATGACAGTGTAGGAAAGACTGTCCCACAGCTACTTCATTCATTTCTATGGTGTTTTCAGCCCCAGATTTGAATAGCGTACATGTACTAGCCACAACCTTGCATTTCGTAACCGCTTATTGTACATGTCATGTCAAAATGCCTATTGACAATGATTGAGAAAGTAGTACTTTTCCATAAATATAATACCTTCTTTGGTGATGGGGCCATCAAATCAGTTGTTTCATTCAGAGGTGGTTATTGCAATTTGAAACCTCTGATTGACGAAAGAAAATGGAGTATATTCCAAATTCATGGTCGAATGGATAGATTAATAATAATACCGAACATAACAATGATTACACATAAATCAAACCCATTTTAACTTGTTAAATGAATCTCACAAATTACCTGATTAGCTGAGAAAGCTGCACATCTGACAATGGATTCCAAAGCAGTTAGCAGCAACTTCTGCTCAGGGACTTTGAGGAGATCCACCAGAATCTTGATGACCTTCTTGTCCACAGTGCTGGGTGTCTTTTGTACTTGTAGAATGGCTCTGGCGATCACCTCAGAATCCAGGGTCCCCTCCACAGATTTTGATGATGTCTCCGTGGCTGTTTCTGAACTCTTTGATTTCTCAGAGGCTTGACTAGATGCTTCAGTAGGTTTGGATTCAGCTTTTTCACTAACATTGTCTTGTTTCTTAAGTGGGGACATGGCAGGAGAAGAACCAGCTGACGAACCTGGTGATAGCGTTATCCCAGCCTTGCTCACAAACTGATAGTCCTCTGCTAAGGTATCCCCTGCACCAACATCACTGCCTTCAGAATCCCCTGTCATCATCGCAGACTGATCTTCCAACTGAGGATCAACTGGCACAGCCATAGCTTCCCCAGCTCCTCCCTCGTTGGCTCCAGCCTCGCCAGATTGTGATGGTAAGGACTGTTCTGTGCCCTGGCTAGCTTCCGTCTCGGTAGGTTTTGCTGCAGCTGGTTGCTGAGCAGGTTCTTTGGTAGAAGCAGCTGGAACCTTGACTGGAATCTTTTTACTTTTTGATGGTGATGATGACAATTCTGGTGTTGAAATGTCTGACTCTGCACCTGCTGGAGGCTCTTCAGCTTTCCTTTTACTTTTCTTTTTCTTTTCCATAGCATCTTCATAACGCTCATCTTTTACTTCTTGTTTAGGTGGTTCTTTCTGGGTTTGTTTCTCGATTGCTGGAATAACGTCTGGCTCGGTGAGTTTGGGTGATTCAACATTTTCCCTATCAGAACTCTTGACTTGTCTTTTTGCCACATTTTCTTTTGAACCGCTGTTTGCTGGTTTTGGAATCTGGGATAGCCGGGCCCCGGTTGAATGTCTCTTGAATATGCCCTCCGTGTTGTCAGTGGCCCCTGAGGGAACTGGCATGACTCTGTCTGTGGAGCTAAACATCCGCCCTGGGTCAGACACAAATCTCCCATTACGTCCCCTATTGGATGTCCTTTTACGAACCACCGGATATTCACCACCCACTGTGTCTCCGTTTCCACCATTTTCACCGTTTGATTCTTCTGAAAAAATATCAGAATGACTTGAGCATGAGTTCAATTAACATAAAAATAGTGCCACAGCACTGTAGCTCACCTGGACATGTCATCAACAGCTTTAAACAGCAATTCAAGCATCCTTAACAAATTCATAATTATTGATGGACACAAGCATGTGAAGTTGCAGCTTCATTGGTCCTGTAGTTTATGCGCCAGGAAATACATTTTGTGAGAATTTAGGAGCATAGTCAAAGGTCAAATGAAGGTCAAAATTACACTATCACAAAAAAATGGAACATATATGTTGAACCCCACCACGAACCATGCTAACTGGGGCTGCAACGAATACACTTTGAGGCTAATACAATTTGTATCACGAATATAGAGTAACGAATACGAATATTAATTCCCGAATACAATAACAAGTCAGTAGTATGAATTATTTGTTATATTCAGTGAAGCAATAACAACATAAATTATTTGTCATGATTTGTTATTTATCAATATATTATATATGTATATACTGCACTTATCCTGGTACTAGTATCTGCTCAAATGCGACAATGACCAGTGACCACAATACTGTCAAATTAAACAGTATAAGAGTGTTGTCTTCTGAAGAAATCTAAGCATATAATATATAAATGCACATGCTTGTATATTCATAAATATTCGATTCTAGTGGTCACAAATAAGAAATTCAATTCATGAATGAATACGGTTCAATTCACCGAATATGCGAGTGAATCGTAACAGCCCATATGCTAACTATGCAAGTACCATTTTGAGTTAATGTATTTTATAACCATAGTAGCACATACGCCACATAGTATTAGGCATATTTGATTTAATGACATCTTTATGGTACGCCCAAACTTCCATTAAGTTAATGGCCTGTTAATGTGCGGATGGTGTCATTAAATGTTGGATACAACCGAATTCAACGTCACTTAAGTCTTTAACTAATGGAGGCTTAATGACAAGTTACCATATCATTAAAGTCTGATACAAAAGAGTTCTGTACCATATAAACTGAGGACAGTTTATTTTCTCACACGTTTGATTGTCAATTGATAATATCTTAAGTTGGCGATATTATATCCAAAATATGAACTGTCTGGCACTTAGTCAGCACTCAAAAAATGCTTCTCACAGTTTTATTTATTTGGTCACAAATTGACAACATTTCAAACATAGTAGGGGTCATGTGGTTGCAAATTCCTTTCTTACCCAAGACTTCTTTGATCCAAATTAGTTCTGCACAAAATTACCCAGTCACAGATTACTTTTACATCCCTATCTCACATCCCTATCTCACACACATCCCTATCATTTGGATGACTTTGGTCTGCTTCACTTGCAAACAAAAGTGTTGGTTTACTAGCAAACTGGTCAAAACGTATGGGGGTATTTATGGCTTACTGCTACAGAGTCCTTTGGCTAATGCACGGTCTTGGAAAATATATAATTTGGATGAAACAAATTAAAAAGGAGCCCCAGCAAGATTGGAGATCCAGAACCTGTGAAAAATCTAGACTTGGTTCAATTAGAGTTCATGACAGAAAGAGCTTGGTAGAAAGGAAAATAATGTGGTTCAGGGACTGCGAGACAGACAGACTGATGAATCATTTCATTTAAACATGTATATGCCAACAGCCCCTTGACCATTCAAACTGAAATTATGCTCGATTTCAAACACTAAGAATGATTCTAACAGCGACTACCTGAAAAAATGAAAACATGACAGCATTAGCTGTGGATCTGCGCGAATGTAACGCACAGCACCATTTGAGGTGATGCAGTCAGTAAATGACTCAACTTTAAGTCACATTTGGTAGACTACATGGCAATCAACTCTCTTATCTCCATCACTGTGGTAACTCCACACGGTAACACTATATTTACAGCAGTTGTATCACTAAGCTCCCTTTGTCATGGATGTCAGGATACCTTACAACAAACATGGTGATAATGATACTGCTTTCCCTGTCAGAAAACAGGTGTCAACCCATCACATATCCATCTGCTGCCAGAATGCTGTTTTAACTGGTATTTGTACCTGAGGCCCAAACCATTTAATTTCTTGATTTACAGATGAGACTGCATAAAATTTATTACAATTAAAATTAATTCAAAGTTTCAAAAACAAATGAGCTTAAGTTTAACATGTTGGGTTTAGGGATTTGGGGGATTGAGTGAAAGTTGTTTAACACTGTGCAGCAGGGCGTGGAGTCATCCCACGGATGACATCTTTACCTTGTCAGCTTGCTGACAGGGTTAACCTCTTTGGTCATGTGGACAAGGCATCCAATCGCAGATCAGAATGTCCGTGGTTTAAATTCCATAACAGGACTCGGAAATGTTATGGCCACAACAGCTGCATCAGCATTATTGCGATACCGTAAAATGCGACTAATGGGATCAGGTGGTCAGGCTCGCTGACTTGGTTGATGCATGTTATTGTAACCGAATTGCATGGATTGATGCTCATTATGTCAATCACTGGATTGTCTGGTCAAGACTCGATTATTTATACACCACAGTCATATAGCTGGAATATTGCTGAGTGCTGCGTTAAACAACAAACAAACAAACAAACAGCATTATTGCACTTATTATGGCGATGTGAAGTAGGGGTGAGATCATAAAATGATGTTTATAAGAATACCTGCAAAAAGTGTTCATTTGAAGCCCTAAGGGTACCTAACATTGAGGATTTGGGCTCCAATTAAAGGAGTAGTGCCAGTTTCCTAGCTGTACCCTCAAACACATGTAACCTTTATTTCAGCAACATCAGACAGAAAGCATGATTGTTCCTAGCTCATCAGACACAGGTATGTTGGTGAGAACATCATCTTTTTCTGTTGTATCAACAACACCTCCCGACAGCTGTGCTTGGCTGGCCTGAGAGCAGATATACTATTACCTCCCTGCAGTGCAGACCATGATCTCCCGCCTGGTAATAAACACTGAGCAGGCTCACACTTCATCAGCCTTGCATGTATCTTCTTGCTGCGCATGTTAACTAAACTACGCATAAATATGTCATTTTTAAAAGTATGTTTTCTGATTTTTGAAATTGTTCATGTTTAAATTGTAATGATGTAAATTTGTGTTCAACTTACAAATCAATTAAATATATCACAGTTATTATATAATAAATTATTATATTCAATAAGTTTTTAAAAGGTTGGTGCTTGCTGTATAATTATTAAACATACCCCGTTATGTAAGGTATTTCATCATCCATCATATAGTAGAACTAATGTAGACAGGGACTCCCCAATCTGGACCTTTTTTCCACCTATTGCATGGATTATCCAGGGTATTAATCCTTTATTCCATAATCAGTATCGTGGTATATACCCTGGGCCCTCTCACGACTACCATAACTTTGTGTTTTGCATGATGCTAAACATCAAATTACTCTCACAAGCAAGAGAAATTCTTTGCTGATAAATACGAGTGATTGAAGTGGTGACGAATGGAGATATAATTTACTGATAGTCGCGGATGAATCTATACTGGTCCGAGAAGTGCTCAAGGTGTAGCTGGGACATTATCTCGGTGTAATTAGGGTGACTATTCACTACCATGCTAATAGACATAATACTTCATCTGTCTTGGTTTGTTTCTCCACACTGCAGTCACTACTGTTTGAATATTCCAGCTCAAGTCACAGCAGCCAGTAAATAAATGAGTCTGGACCAGTCAAACCAGTGATGTGCAACGTCCAATATGGTCAGGAGACAATGACACACAATCAACAATCGACCCCTGATCCATTTAGTCGCCTCAAATGACAAGCATGGGTTACTGGGGACCTATAATCTCACCCGGAACCCCCACAGGACCACGTTCCCTGGTAAATCTATGATCTTTATCAAGCTCCAATGATACACACACTAGTCACAGTCCCTTAACCATATTATTTTCCCTTTCACCGAGCCCTTACGGTAATGCTATAGCCCCAAATAAAGCAAGTCTAGATTTTCCACAGGTTCAGGTTCTGAATCTCCATTCTTACTTGGGCTCCTTTTCAATTTATATGGAGCTGCTTGTTTCTATCAAAATTATATATTTTCAGAGACAAAGCGTGAGTCTACCACAGAGAGATCAGCATTAGAATTTGGAACTAGTCCTATAGTCCTTGACAAACTGCCAAATAGTTAAGGTATCATAAGGACTAGTAGAAATTTGCCGTTTTTAAGGGTTTTGCTATATGTTATCATTATAAGGACTAGAAACCTAAAAGAGTTAGTTTCTATTGCTTGAGATGTATCAGCCTACCTACTTCCCATGTACTGTGTTTAACCAACACTAACATCACAAGCACATGTGCACAGTACGTAATATGTCAGCAGTTAGCTTCCACCATCTGGCTGTGCGCCTAAGTGCCAGCATCACCCAGCAACAAGCCAAAGCTGGCTCTTTAGCATCTTAGCATTCCAAATACTCCCAACACTATAGGGGCCCTGTTTGGGTTGGAACTTGTATGCTTTCAGATCGATTTATTTTCTTGGCCACTGATTCTATTTCAAAATGTCAAATTTGTTTACAATTTTGGTAAGGTATAGGTATATAAAGAATGGATAGGGCAAAAGTTGATAAAATCACGAAAATGTCCTTATGCCATCTGTGTATTGCAAAATCAAGGGAAGAATGTGGTAACACTAGTCTGTCAGCCAGCAGTAGACTGACAATAAAACCTAGAAATAAAGTTCTTATTTACAAATATACAAGTACAAAATGTAAAATAAAATTTAAAAAAGCACAGAAAAATAAGCCAGCAGGTATTCCTTACATTAAGGTATCCTCCAACATTTAGAGGACTTTTCTTTTATGTTATCAATGCAATATCACCAGGTATATCTATATACCAGTTCAAATTTCAACCCACAATATTGATTTCACTGATTCAAATCTATTAAAAGACAATCACATTCACTGTCAAATTGTGCCTATGTCTTGAGATTAGGCATTTATTTAATTAACATACAATTTAAATTCTATATCACAGGTAC